AAAGCACAGGTTACTTATCGGTCATTAAGTATCATATAACTCGCTTGCTTGATACCTTTAGATAAATGCATTATTAATGCGTAACTTGTTACAAGCTTGCATAACGAAAGAATTGTCTTTTAAATAACATACAATTGGAACCCGTTATTCTAACACGTTTCTACGCTAAACAAATACAACCTGTTTAATTTATTAAAATGCATTACGCGATTTAACCGTTAAACATGTTTCTTATTTTAATAGTACAGACAAGGTCATAATGATTGAAATAGTATGTTTATTATTAATGTAATAAAAAAAAAAAAAAAAGGGGGGGGGGAAAAAAAAAAAAAAAAAAAACCCCCGGGGAAACACGGGAACCTTAATAAAAAAAAAAAATTTTTGCTATTCCGTAAATACAATATGTATTAATTCACTATAGTACGACCAACAAGTCACTTTATTATAGTAAAGATTAATAAATAAAAAAGTATGAGGACGTGCGAGATGTTCGGGGTTGGGGTCAATAGGGCGATTTGAATAGTCGTGACGTTGGGACAGAACGTTGAGACAAATAAGAAAAGAAATTAACAGGACAACCATTGTAATTGGGTTTTACAAAGCATTAATTTTATATTACATTTTTGCTATTTTGCTGGCTGATACTGTAAGAAGTGATAACATAAAATTTCTGAAAATAATATTTACATTACGTGTTGCCTAACATTTCCTTAAGTACGAGTGGTCGTGAATTTGAATCTCAAGGAAATAATTAACTGTTTTGATCGGTCAGGATCGGAACACAAAAGTCTAATCAGTTTCTTGTTTGTAAATAAAATCGAAGATTGAAATAGATATTTAAATTTATCGGCGGAAAGTATTATTTTAGTCATGCAGTATTAATACATAACAGTAATATGTATTCATACTGCTTTTCTTGTACATTTTTGTTTAATTGCAACTATTCTAAGTATTTGGTAATCTGTATTTAATTCTTCTTCAATTGTTTTATTATAGGCTTATGTAATGCGCTATGAAACGAGTGACGAGTTTTAGCTTTTTTATTTAAAAAATGTGTAAAAAAAGTATTTTTTAAATACGCCCTACATTTTCAGATTTATAGTAGCTATATTTATATTTTGGTTTTAAACGGTTAAATTTTTTGTAAAAAATAGAACGAGAAAACAATTAGTTACGACTTTTTCGATGTTATACCAATTGAAATTCTTTCATTCACATTCTAAACGATCGTTTTTAAGTCGCAGAATCGATCTATATACTTTAAAATTTTCGCTTAAAACAAAAGAGTAAAAAGAGTAACGGAAGGACGAGGAGTATTTTGTTTATAAAATTGGAGTCCGTTTAAATGTTTATTCAACAGTCTTGTCAAAATCGATAACATATTTCTAAAGAACTTGAATATGGAAGGTCACTCTGCCGTATTATAAAGCACTCAACATCATTTAAATACAATAATTTAAAATTTCAGCTCTATCTATCTAACAACTTTTGTATTGTGTTTGAAATTGCATCGTGAAACTAGATCCATGCATACCGGATGAAAAGCAAGTCAATACCGTGAAATTCTAAATTCAAAATCCAGATTAACTATGCTGATGAAACAAAGGGAAATTTTAGAGGTACTAAAAGGAATAAAGTAAAAATTTTCCCTTTTACGAACTTTCAGCTAGCATATTGCTTGTGACAAAATGTGTTAAATTCATTCATATGTAAAATACGAGCGTTTGTGAACTTTTCAGTACAACTTTAAGGACGAGAAAATAAAATTAAATACGATTCCTGTTAAAAACTAGTACTATTAAAGTTGAAATAATTGTTATAAAGTAATTTCCCTGTTGCTGAATGCTGGCTTGTTCTGCCTTAACGGCATTAAATAAAGAATTTTCATTTGACGCCAGGAAGTGTCAGTTTTAACTGATACTCGGTTTGATAAAATCCACTACACTATATTTTTTCAAGAAGTCAGTTTGTGTCAGTGTAACTTATCAAAGTTAGTGTTTTGTAAAAATATAATGAGTTTTAATCTTAACATTTCTTTTTGTTATATAACCATCTATTTAATTTACACTCTATTGATATTAAATGTATGCGTATAATTTTTTAGTGTTTAATTTTTTATGTTGTTTCTTTACATTTATAAACAATTTTATAAATCAATACTTATTTATATATAATCTAGTATAACTTATTAAATTTCCCTTCGACAAAGGCCCCTAGGCTTTAAAGGAAACCCTAAGTTTTTATTTATTATAATTTCGTTTTTTTGTATGTTGGTTTTTGTTATTCGATCTAGGAAAAAATCCGCCTAACAGATTCTTAACTCAAAAACTACGCCGTAACTGCATACTTGTAGCACGCGGCTACGGCGTAGCTAATTAAAATCGTCTTCAAATTACGATCTATTAATATATTGTTAAGTTAAATAAAATAAAAATAACTATATCATGCAATACATGATATAATTATTATAACATTTAAAATTAAAATTACAATATTACAAATTTAGAATTAAGTCTTATTGTTTCAATACAAAGATATCAAAGGACCATAAAAATTAAGATTTGAGGAAGAAATCTTAAAAATACGCAAAATGAAAAACTGGCTACAAATAAGGCTTTACTATTTTGTTTGAGGATATAGGAATATAAACGAGTCCTCGTTGGTCCAGTGAGAACTTTGTTTCTCATTGTGTTTCGAACCGTTAAAAGTGTTTTATTCAAATGTGTACTACTTTCTTTAGAACAGACAATATTTAATTGACGTATTTGTTTTATATGAAAATATTTATTGCCTTTTTCTTTATATGTGATTCAGTTTCACATTACTGTGTCCGTTTCCTTTGGTTAATCTACGTGCTATGATCTGAGTAACTTAAACTATTACTATTATGATTCCACGGTACTTGAGCTAGTATTATTCATATAAAGGTAACATATAATAAAAAATCCAATCTTAATAAGCGAGAAATCTGCTTGAAATATCTTTTAAGAAATACTCGTGTCACATTTTATTAGAATACTCTATAAGTCACATTCTGATGAACGAACAAAATATTCATGAGCCATCCAGCTTTCATTACCTTTGATACATCGTTTCTACAAACCGTGCGCTGTATTTAGGGTTCCGTAGACAAAAGTCTAACAGACCTTAAAATAAAACTCCTCTAAGACTCAAAAGACCAATAATATTTTTAGATTATTGTCATCATCATTATATTTTTTTTCATTTCGTCACTCTCTAACTAGCCACGAGCAGTTTTCAACCGACTTGAAAAAAGGAGGCTTTGAATTCAATCGTACATACGCTGATTTTTATGTTTTCTCGCGGATGACTTTGTCACTTGTAAACCGGTTTTTTGATGTTTCTGGAATAAAAATAATTCCAAGTTACTTTCATGATAAGAAAAGTAGGGTGTGATTATAATATATTTGTTTAACTATTTAAATGTAACTATGTCAATCGCTTTTTTGTTTCCTATTTGTTGCCGATGTTTGCTTAAATTATTATATTCGTCATAAAATTTAACTTTTCTATTGTTGTAACGTTTAATTGTAGGTTTATTGTTTCACGTTATAACCGACTTACATAATACATCTAGAAAAATATACTTTATTATTTCTTATATAAGTATATATTAGTTAAAATTATTTAAAAATTATTTTAACTACGGCCCGACGTTGCTTTGCATCAACCGTGGTCTCCCCGTGACCACGGATTTAACTAATATATCGCGTTTTAAAGCGTTAAAGTGTTGTAATTAAATGTGTACAACCGCGTTAACAACAGACAGTATTTACCTTATTAATAATCATATTGTATGCAGTTTTAATACAAAACTAAAGTGGTTATATAAATAAAACCACACATCGTGTTGTCTTATGTAGAGTCTGTACAATCGTTTCAAACCATGTTAAGTACAACTTCTGACCACAACAGATATTGGATTCATTTAATTTCAAACGGAAATGGCTAAGAGAACACTGTTTTCCAATATCAGTGAAAGAGATATGAAAATAAAGCAACAAATAAAGTCAATTATTTTCTTACTCTACGTGTGCAACTTATGTTAAAACAGAACCGACTTGTCATCACTTCTAGTTCATTTTTTTAAAGATCAATGTATTGTTTTTGTCTATTTATAATTATTAGCAAGAATTGTGCTAGTTTAAAGCCGCATAAAGTTATTCTTTATTACTTCGTCTACGTGCGGCATATACCGTTTCTTTTTTGTAATTATCTAACTTTGTTTGCGTTTCGTGACATTTTGTACATATACATAAATAGATCGGAACATACACGTATACATATTATTTCAAATCTAATAGATATACACAACACATTCATACTATTGAACTGAACCTGGTGGGAATCGAACCACCAATCCGTTGATGACCGTGTCACGCAAAAAAGCGTCTTGTAGCAAGCAAATCACACTTTACTGTAACCATTGCAACCGTGGCGTTAGATGCGCCTGCGTCGAAAAGCGTAGTGTAATGAGTTACCAGCTCGCCATCAAGCAGACTCTTAGTGACGTATAAATTTCATTTTGTATTTTACTTCAATGCATAATTTAAATAAAACACTTTAACGGTTTAAAATGTATAATGTTGTTAATTAATGGTGTCCTGCTCGCGTAAACTATAGACAGTATTCAATGCATAATTAGTCAATGATGAATTATTATTATTATTATGTTAAATTACATTATTATAAAATTTTGAAAACTTTAATTTCACATGATGGCACTTTATAAATTAAAACTCGATTATAAATTAAACCACTTAATTTTGTTTAAATAATGGTTATTATCTATTTTTTGAAAAAATTCGCCCATGACGTGTAGGACTCTGTAGCTCAATTTTTTAGAGAGAAACGGCACGGAACGACGTTGATGCCGGTTCAAGTCCTGCCCGTATTTTTATTTTTTTTAATCGATTTTTATTTGATATTATCCTTCTATAATTTAATTCGGTATACTATAGTCTGTCTATTTGATACAGGCTGCTGAGAGCGGTAATGTGGAGGATTTCAAACGGCTCTACATGAGCGAGCCATCTCGCCTCAACGTGAAGGACGCGAGAGGCCGAACGCCCGCCCACCAGGCAGCCGCCAGGAACAACACCAATATTCTACTCTTCATCAGCTCTTACTCTGGAGGTAAACACTTAATCTTGAAAATTAGGCCAAATCTTCATGTTAAGGATCCACTTCATCGTTTTTAGAATGGTTCAAGTTAATCTTATACGATGACTTAATTTATATACTACACGTGTGTGTGTGATAATGTCCTTGCGGGCTCATCAGGCTAATCAACCTAGCACACTTATCTAATCAATCTATATTTTTGTTGAAACATGTTGGACTTTGGAAATCTGGATATTAAATCGGTGGTAGGTATATTCCGTCTGGGTCACGAGCTACCGTTTACTGATCAAAATAGCCTTGAAGTTTGATTGTGTTTCGATTTCAGTCTGTGGATTTCCGAATATCCAAAGCCAAAATATGTAAAATAAGTTTTAATTGTAAGTATAGAATTTGGTCGTCAAGTAGTGGTGCAAACTTGCAGTGAAAACTTATTGGAGCTGAGTATTCGAGATTAAACCACATTTATCTTTGTCCAGATCTGAACGCCGTAGATCTTTTAGGCAACACACCACTCCACCTTGCTGTTGAGAACGATGCTCTAGACGCGATTGAATTTCTTTTACAACAGTAAGTACTAACACAACGAGATAAAAAAAAACGACCCTTTCCCCTGACTATCCTTCGACCAATCAAAATAAAACTATACAATTCGCTCGAGTTTTTACAAGCACGTTAGTGCGTTGGATGGACTCTGACGAAACTTTCAAGCAGTGCGGATCCTAATTGTCTGTATCTGCTTTTTAATTATAACGAGTATAACAAAGAAGACTGTTTAGATTTCTTACGCACTCTAGTTTAGTTTATATAATAGATATTGGATCTCAAACGCAATGGCTGACATAAATTTAAAAAATGTATTACGGCTTTTCTATAGAAATCTTTTTCAGTAGTAATTATGGCATATTTAAATATCTTTAACGGTTTAAAACGCGATTTGTATTAGTTATCTTATATATATATATTGTACTTTAACTACTACCCGCCGTTTCGGATGCTTTGCAGCCGCCGTAGTCTGGGGAGACTACTGCGTAAACTACAGACAGTATTTAATATGGGATATCTTAAATTAAAGGTTTCAATATGTTATGTTGTGTTTCTTGAAATTAAATAATCTATGCAGGGGGACAGTGCTGAAGCATCGAAACGGGTATTTAAGTAAATATATATAAGATAACTAATACAAATCGCGTTTTAGACCGTTGAAAGTGTTTTATTTAAATGTGCGAGTAATACACATTTAAATAAAACGCATACATAACGTAAATGCAATAATCATTTGTTTTACAGGCATGTAAACACAAGCGTATTGAATGAGAAGAATCAAGCGCCTATACATTTGGCAACTGAATTAAATAAGGTAATTTTTATTTCTTTTTGAGTCTTATTTGCGTCAATATTATGTGTCGCTAACCTCTGAAACCATCCCCTTTAATGTAAGTACTTGACATATTCACAATAATAAATATTACATATTTTATATATATAATAATGTAGGTATGTATGTTATTCAAAGAACGAAGAGCTTGCAAATTCAATTCGCTTCCCCGATGACGTAGATAATTGTATAGAGTAACTAATACTATTGTAGTAGTTGCTAAGTTAAGTGCTTTGAAACTGTCTCAATACAAATTAACATCCCAGCTACTGACGGATACAGTCTAAACCACTGGTCGTAGAGATTTGAAACTAACTCGTAGATATGATATTAATTATATAACCGAGATACCTTTGTGTCCGTCAAAGGATAAAGTAATGTATTTCACGTCCCATAAAGCTATGCTAAGACTCTACAAAAATTATAATTATATCAAGTTTTATTAGAAATATTTATTGATTACCTTATTCATATACCACAGCTGGACGAAGGTACTTTTTTATTGACCTTGGTTATTAGTTTAGATCTATAACGCTCAAGACCGAGATGGCTTGTCGAAGTAGGGGTGATAACTCCTCCTATTTATGTCCGAATCCAAGATTCGAATCCGAAAACTCACGTTCTGCAGTCTAGCCACTGAACCAGCGAGACAGTGTAGGATTATATACTTGAGATATTTACGTGATTTAAATAAAACACTTTAACGGTTTAAAACGCGATATATTAGTTAGACTTATTTGAAAATGTTTTTTAACTTCGACCCGACCTTGTTTTGAGCGGACGTGGTCACGGGGAGACTAGATGGAGGACTCTGACAGTAATGCTACGCTAGCGCCACTGTTCCGTCGAAGTTGGTATTTGGCAAAACAGATGGCGCTAGCGTAGCAATTTTTAAAAAACTATAGTAGTAGTACGTAAACTATAGACAGTGTTTATTTACGTGATTTTAATTAGAATTTAGATAATTTGTACGGATTTGTTATAGGTTCCCGTGCTTCAAGTTTTCGCTAAATACAAGACGCAGTTTAATGTTGATCTTGGCGGCGAGCACGGTCGAACTGCTTTACATTTTGCAGCCATACACGACCATGATGTATGCGCTCAAATTTTGGTAAGGCTACTTTATACTATCAAAGGGGGATCCAGCTTTATTGACTTTTAACCACAAAGAACTCACAGTGGAAATAGGGTTCTGAAAACGGTCGTATTAGTAACAGTGACGTAGATTCATACAGAATAAACCACTGGTAAATAATCGAATATGTGGCAAAGTATAGCTTTTAAAGTCACACTCGCTAATAGCTTTTGCGTTCAGATATAGCATTAAATAGTGGATATCTATCCATCCATAATTAGAAAGATTCCTATTATATTTTTTGTTTTTAGGCATACATTCAGTTGATGGGACTGTGACCTGCCATAATGAAACAATTTATCATTTGCAATTTTCAATTAACACATGATGGCAAGAATATAAATTAAAAATCGATTTCGCTTAGCTTTGGCATCCAAGCGATCCGTACTGTTGCTCTTACCAGTATGGGGGAGCTTCCGTGCCCTATACGTCATCGTCGTATTACCACTTATTCATACTTTCACCTCTCTCAAATCAACCCGCTCGTGAATTATTTTCAATCTAAAATCAATTTTCAATTTATTGGGTGGCCTTTACGCATTGCTTGGCTAGGTATTTATCCTTAACTCATAAGATTACTCTATGAACTCTATGAAAACCTATACGGGCTCGATGGTCTAATGGTAGCAAAGTGCCATACTAATCAAACATGTTTCTGAAAAATTAGAAACATAATGGACTCCGTCTAGAAATCGGTGTATTCTACTATGATCTTCGTTGGAAGAAATGTAGAAATTCTGCCCGGGTCACAAACCACCGTCGACAACTGAAAAATCCGTGAAACTTAATCGCGTTCGGTGTTGTCTGTTCCGAATATCCAAAGCCAAAATGGATAGCGCATCTTGTGTAGATGTTATATGGCTGGGGTATTACACCTCAGTGGACCTATCTTCCTCTTTGATTAAAAATATTGCTCTAAACTGCTGAACTTTCACGTTTCACAGATATCGGACTTAAACGCTGAATGCAAGCGTCCATGCAATAACGGCTACTATCCCATCCATGAAGCGGCTAAGAACGCCTCGTCCAGAACCATGGAGGTGTTCCTACAGTGGGCTGAGTCTAAGGGCTGCTCGCGTGAACAGATGCTGTCTCTTTACGACAACGAAGGGAATGTTCCTCTACATTCAGCAGTACACGGTGGCGACATAAAGGCAGTGGAATTGTGCCTTAAATCTGGAGCGAAGATTTCAACACAGCAGCATGACTATTCTACTCCCGTACATCTTGCTTGTGCTCAGGTAAATCGAATTATGTTGCGCATAAACTAAACTTAACAAATATGAATTATTGAACACTTTAATATTTTTCACATGTTATTGCATGTATATTAAAAATTAATTATACATTTTTAAAAATCCCGACTCGGGTTTGAGTTGATCCATGCATCCTTAGCGTTCCTGCTGTTCTCTGACAGCTAACCCATTGAGCTACCGAGTCCTACACGTCATCGTCGAAGCAATCGAATTTATTTTTGCAAACCTTCTCCTTATCTTTATTGATTATAGATGTTACCTACGACGTCGTTCTTGCTAGTTACTTTTAAAGTATAGACAAATTATACCGTCGGATTTTTTGGATCAATAAAATTAATATTTTTTCCCGTTTTGTCAACATTTCCCAAATTCATACGATCATGTTACGATATGGCGATGATGTGATGTTCTAGCCTGCTCCGACAAATACGTTAACCAACACAAAATTATTTTTTCAATTGGACCAGTTTATAATGTTTTATTTCATTCTGTACACTCTCGTAAGCTAGAGTAATACCTCGACACAGATAATTGTCTGCCGAGTTACCCATAGAGGGAAAAGGGGAACGGAAAGTAATTTACGTATTTAACAGTAGAATACAAGCAAGATTTCTAGTACAAAACTCAAAATAAAAAAAATTACTTTAGCTTTGTTAAAGAAAGTAGATTTCTCAACATCAATGAATAAAAATGCAAAGGCACTTGAATCTTGTACGGTCCAGTGATCTAGCTATTCCGTTGATAAATAATGTTTGTTCACAGGGTGCTCTCGAAATCGTGAAGTTGATGTTCACAATGCAACCAACAGAGAAGATGGCATGCCTCAACTCATGCGACGTTCAGCAAATGACACCGATACATTGCGCGGCCATGTTCGATCACCCTGATATTGTCAGCTACCTCGTCTCGGAAGGTTCAGACATCAATCCTCTGGATAAAGAGAGGCGTTCTCCTCTCCTTCTAGCTGCTTCTAGAGGAGGTTGGAGGACTGTGCATATGTTGGTAAGTTACAAATATTTAGTTTTTTTTGAAATGTATTTTACTATATGTAATAATCTAAAAATGCTCAACTTTTGACTGGCTTTTAATAACTTTTTGTTATAATTTGTAAATAAGCAACTTGGTTCAGTAGTAAGTCATGCCAAGTAAATGTGGTCGTGTGCTCAAATTTAGTAAAAATCATATTGAAATTGCTGCTAAAGTGTGGACACATACTTATAAAAGTATCCTTCCAGATACGACTCGGGGCGAATCTTGAATTAAGAGACATCAACATGAGAAATGTTTTACATCTTGTTGTTATGAATGGCGGCCGACTTGAAGACTTTGCTAATCACTGCAAAGTAAGTAATTCACTATAGGAGATTTACCGAAACGAACCATCCGAGTACAACGCACTCTTTCCCACAATTATATACAAAGAACAAGGACACAAAAACTTGGCATCAAAATTTTTCTAGTTAGCAAAATTCTATGAAAAGATTTCTATCAATTCTGCATTCAGATTATACATAACTAGCGGCCCGGCTCGCAGGTATAGATGTTTAAATTATAAGCATGCTAATTAAAACGACCATGAATCACTAAATAATAAAAAATGTATTGCGCGTCCTAGATGTTAACGACCGTTGTCTGTCTCGCTGTGTCCCGTGCACGCGTTCGCGAATTCCTAGCTCCTTTTCCTTATTGCCTTTAAGTCGCTGCGAGCGCTCGGCGCTTGGCTGTCGTTCGTATAGCTGCGACGATTTTGCATTTTGTTCTGCAAGACGAACCTGAACGATGCTAGATTCTCTGGCTCGCGATTGGGACGCGTATACTCTCATGCTTTCCAGACGATCATTTTTAGAAGAAGACTCTCCAATACGACTAACTTTAGCTAATCTCGCTTGGTAACTATTCTTATATAGCTGCCTTCTTCTTCTTCTAGGCCTATTGATATTAAGGATATTTATTTAAATCAGATAAATTAGGAATAAACTAATAATAATACAAAAGAAAATATTCAATTTCAAAGGGATAGTTCTGAAATGAACTTTGACAAATATTATTCAAATTCTGAAAAGAACGTTTTAAGTAAAGCATAAAAATGTTTAAAAAAAACCTCGAAATATTCAATATTTCGTGTTAAATAAAATCGAAAATAAATTGATTTTTTTGTCGTCGGAGTAAGATTATTATCTTCGTTAAACTTGATAAACGTCATAGTCGCGTCAATGAATACATAAAACAGGTAATCTTCGAAATTCCTCAAGAACAGCTCCGATTTTGATAATTATTTTTTTAAATTTGTTTTTTTATATTATTTAAAATCAGAAACCATTTGGAGCGGGGACGGAACGATTTATATTGTTTAAACTATGTCTAGGAAAATTATGTTCTCGACTAATGCCATCTAGGTTTCAAGTATTACGCTAAAAAACATATACTAAATACCATTATTTTAAATACCCCCTATGAACCTCTAAGCGCAAGAGATCCCGGGTTCGAATCACATACTCACAGAAGTCTAAACAACTACTTGCCTGTAAATAAAACCAATCGGAGAAACGGAAACAGTAATGTGTTCGCCCCAAGGCCTCGGGGGGAAACGGGATAACACTATAAAGCTGTGTGTAACACTATGTAAATAGTGTCTGTAGTTTACGCGAATAGTTCACATCTAAATAAAAGACTTTAACGGTTTAATACGCGATATATTAAACTGATTTGAAAATCATTTTTAACTTTGGCCGACGTGTTGGATGCTTTACAGCAGCCATGGCAGTCTCCCCTGTGGCTACTTATATATATCGCGTTTTAAACAGTTAAAGTGTTTTATTTAAACCTCTATGAAGTTTGATATATTTTTACTTGATGTCTAGACATATTTTTTCCTTTTAATTGTAGAGTCGTTCTGAGGAGAGTTTGAACCAACTTCTGAATGAGAAAGACAGAACAGGATGCTCACCACTTCATTATGCCAGTCGTGAAGGTCATATCCGGTCTCTGCAGAATTTAATCATTCTTGGTGCATGCATCAACCTTAAAAACAACAATAATGAGAGCCCACTACACTTCGCTGCTAGGTAAGTAGTTTTAATATTATTATGCTTCTAAATAACTAATGATAATAAGTAAGTAACAAGATGTAAAAGTAAATAATAAAAAAAACAGAGTTTAGTGTAATCTTATAACTCATTGTAACTTCCTACATTTATAGTTAAATTAAAAACGAAAGAAGATAAAATTATAAAACATTTGTGTGTTGTCTGTTGTACATTTTGACGGGTTCGTTGGTGTAATGGTAGATGTGACTACTATTCAATGGGTCGCAGGTACGATGCCCACCGGGGACATGTTCCTAATCAATCAATAATGTTTCTGACTTCGTCTAGAAATCTGGATATAAAGGGTGGCAGAAGTTACGACATTCCACCGGTGTCACGTCAACAGTTAAGTTTAAATGCGTTTCGGTATCAATCTATGGTTCTCCGAATATCAAAAGCCAGAATAGGGCGACAGATGAAGAAAAAAGATGTTTTTAAATGTTATGTGACTAGGTTTTTTAACCTACCATCAAGTGTACATTAGAAATATGTATGCATGGGGCATACATATTTCTAATGCGTAAATATAATTTCGTTAGGTACGGCCGCTATCACACAGTTAGCCAACTCCTCGACTCCGACAAGGGTACGTTTATAATAAACGAAAGTGACGGTGAAGGTCTAACGCCGCTTCACATCGCGTCGCGTGAAGGACATACGAGGGTAGTTCATCTTTTGCTCAATAGAGGGGCGCTTCTACATCGCGACCACAATGGACGCAATCCGCTCCATCTAGCGGCAATGTGCGGATACACGCAGACCATAGAGTTACTACATTCGGTTCACTCGCACCTATTAGACCAAATGGACAAAGATGGCGTAAGTCTTAAGGTTGGATGTATCTACTTACAAAATATAACATAAAATACAGGAGGTCTTTCGCGTTGCGTACTCTTATTATTTACTCGTCTATGGTTTAAACCGATCAATAACGCATAAATATATTTGCCCCATGGCCCAAATACGCTGCACGTTATTACAAATGTAATTTAACATTTATTATCAAAATGTATATCATCATTTGATACCTGTTATATGCCTCCTAAAATACTGTACTTTAATACAATACGGGACAATATCGATTTTTTTTTTCATTTTTAATAGATTTTTAACTCATACAATACACACGTATGTATACGTACGATACAGTATGAATGCTTTAAACGCAATAAATATTAAATTTCAATTGAACTATGATCAGTTTTACGTAGTATAATAGGTCGATCATATTTTGTGCACATTTCAGAATACCCCACTACATCTAGCGACTATGGAGAACAGACCGAACTCTATCGCCCTTCTTCTGTCTATGGGCTGTCGTTTGTGTTATAACGCACTAGATATGAGTGCTATCGACTATGCAATTTACTATAAATTCCCGGAAGCGGCCCTCGCTATGGTAACGCATGCGGAAAGGTGAGTACGGTTGTTTTTGAAAATACCATCCAGTCCGCTGTTGGCATACTATTAAAAACAAGAGACAATCGATTACAAGAAATTAGATACAGTATAGTGCAGTGTAAAAGTGAAACGCTCTATGGAGCGAACACATTTCTGTTTCCGTGTCTTTACTGTTTCCCCGGGATTCGAACCCAGGACCTCTCACGCTCAACGCAATCCTAGGCAACCTACAGAAGAGGTCGAAATAAATACCAACATATTAACTTAACGCTGCGTTGTTTACCGAAGACTTTCGAAGATGTCTAATTTTTATGACTTTTTGTTCCTATCGACTAGTCTAACAATACACCAGTATCTATATCTTACACCGAATGACCATCGTTATCCATCCCTATATATACAATTTACATTACTTATTTTCTATTTTATATCACAAAGAGCATGGAAAATGACTGAACAATATAGAATAATAAGCGAAAATAAATTGAACAATTTTCGACTTGGACCGGACTTGAACCGGCATCGTCAGCGTGCCGTGCTGTTGCTCTAACCAATTGAGCTACACCCATAGATGCTATACAATTGGTTACAGCACGGAACCCTGACGACGTCAAGTCAAGAGTGAAGAGTTGAAGACCTGCCGGTGTCCACATTTTTTTTAATAGCGTATATAGAGCCATCATTGAAGTTTTTAAATGACTGAACAATTTCAAATGTCTCCCCCCCCCCTCCTTGAATCTGTTTATGGAGATGTTAATAATCATCAAATATTGTGTTTAATAACTGAAAGCAAGTTTTAATTTTTCCATCAAATTATTCGTTATTGTTCGCTTACTCAATTACACAGTTCAATTAGATCTTGTTTTATTTTGTGAGAAATGCACCTCATATTCCCTTGCAGAGCCCAAGAAGTAATGGCCCTAAGATCAGACCGCCACCCATGCGTGACTTTGGCACTTATTGCGTACATGCCACGGGTTTTCGAAGCCGTTCAGGATAAGTGCATTACAAAGGCCAATTGCAAAAAGGATTCAAAGAGTTTCTATGTAAGTACACGCTACGGGACTGGCTACTATGTAAGTTATACCATGTATTTGGGCATATTAACCGAACAATTACGTAACTCCAAATAAAGTAAGCAAAAGCAGTAAAGTATTTACATCATTTTATTTATACTTATACATTTTGTTACGAAAATTTAAACAACATACGAATGTTTGTTCTACTCGTGTTTCCATTCTCAAACAGATTCTTAATCTATCAACATTGTATAAGGTTAAATACTGTCTATAGTTTACGCGAGTAGTACACATTTAAATAAAACACTTTAACGGTTTAAAACGCGATTTATTCGTTAAAAATAATCGAAACCGTTAAACTGTTTTATTTTAATTGTATAGGGTTGTTTAGAGTTTTCTACAGAACTGTTGTCAATGTCATGATTTATTTGAGTGATTTCTCTTATTTATAATAAAAAATAATTAGCTTTATTTTATTATTTTTTTAAAAACATTGACCTCTTATTTTACCATTTTTATTTGTTTGTATAACTTTTTGCATAAATTTAGACTTAATTTCGCATAAAAATTCAATTCTTAAAATCCAAAATCCGTTTCCAATTTATTTAAATGTGTCAACATGTTATTTATATTTTTATTTCATTAAATTCAGAAAATTCAAAATATTCATAGACGTGTTGTGACATGACAATCCTGATGTGTACTTATTCTTAGTTCTGATTTATTGCAATACAAAAGCACAAGCCGCCATTTTGTTTTGGATGACGTCACTCGGTGATCAAACAATAAAATAGGAGACGCATTGGTCTCTAGCACATGACCACTTCACATAGGTGTGTGAGGTCAGAAGTTCGACATTAGGTCGAGCACTCAAATTTTAATTTTTTGAGTACATTCTAATACGACTAATACGATAAAGGAAACAACGTGAGTCTGGAAGAAAAAAGAGAGGAAAAACACTGTACGAAACCTAAAAGAAATCGACAACATGTTTAATCTTCCAACACGTATACTTATTGGTATATAATCTTAAGAGCAGATGTCCCAGCTCTGGGAACAGTTAAAGGGTTGCTGAGAGAATAACCACTTCTAAATTAGTTATGCTTGAATTTAATAATACAAGCCTAATTAAAAAATCACAGATATAGTTATATAATTTCAAAGTTTTAGTCTAATATTTTAATTAGACTTTTAATTTCTTACATGGTGTAAAATACCCTATTATATTTAGTTTTCATGAAGTAGATAAGAAATCCAAGTAGATTAGCTATTTATCATTGTACCATAATGAACTTATTTCTATAAATAACAACATTTATCCAATCTAGATAAAGTACAACTTCTCTACACTGTGCCCGCCAGTTGTCAATGACGATGGCAATAATGTTGTAAATTCACCATTACCAGCCATGAACGTAAGTCAACGACATTGTTAAATGAATATTATTGTTTTTTCTTTGCTCCGCCACAGATTAAATACAGCTTCAGGTACTACCAACATACAAAACTTGAGGTAGCAGCGCTGAGACAAGCGCTTGACGACCCCAAGTTTCGCCCCGAACCGTTGTCTGTTATCAACGTGAGTGAAGTGTCACAATGCACAAATGACGCTTCGCTTAATCAGTCTTGTCTAAGATAGGATGATAAATTTGAGAGTTCTTTTTTTGAAAGTTTTGGCAAAGCGCGTTACTTACATTTCTTTAATTTGATATTTATACAATAAAAAATAATACTTAAATTTTTTAAATAAAGGGAAATCGTTATATATTGATTATCTTATCCCAATATTACTAAATCCTAAACAATATTTGAATAACTTTTTTTATGAAAATGATCTTATATAAGCTATAGACTTGAAAACTTTGTTGTTTTGCACGATTGTGTAAATTTAAAGTTTATAAAAAAAATATAACTCGGGCAAAACTTAAACCGGCACCCACGGCGATCTCTGCCGCCGTTAGAGCTGGGCCTCAATTACTACGAAATAATCAAAATATTCAAACACTTTACTGTCAATTGTCAAATTTATCATCCTATATAACACAGAGTATAATTATATGTACAAACTTATATAAATAGCAATAACGCACTAACTTTGTGTTCAATAAATATTATAAAAACTAAGTGGAGCGGGACTGGCCTGTAATTGTACGCTTTGTCTGGACGTTCTCTTAAATATTATCGTAGGCACTAACAACACAAATACATGTACAGATTCGTGCCAGACGGACAAACTGACAACAGTAACTTAGTAGTTAATCCTTTGATTACGGAGCCCTAAAAACTTGTTGAATACATTATTCTTTGGAACACAAAAGCCAATGTCTAACGGAACTGATTCTATGTGTTTAATACAATGTTCAATTTATTGACGTATTTAACTGTCTTTGCACTGCACTGAATATGGTAATTGGTAAGTGTATATAACAATGGTGTTTTGAATTACACTCGCGGGCATATCACTTCGCCAGCTTGTATCCATTGTACATAGTGTGTGGTGGTTGTTTTGTTTTGCTTCTTCTTGTAAATATATTATAACGCCGAGCTGCCTTCAAACTTGTGAATACCCTTAAAATAAGCGAGAGTTCGTACGATGACAACTTAACTATTAAAGTTAGTATAAATACTTAAATGGCCAAAATAGGTCAACAGCGTAACTTGATTAGGTACTATAGGGTGGGGTACGTCAACACAATGTGAACTCCATGGCCATCGTGTGCTTGTCTGTCTTCCTGTATCATTACAAAAAGAAATGGCATGTACAATGTTTCAATGCAAACAAAAAACGCCAGGTTTGAAGGCAGCCTAAACTTAAACTAAAGCACAGAATCAATTCTATACTTAAATATTGCAGGCAATGGTTGCTCATGGGCGTGTTGAGTTACTCGCTCATCCTCTCAGCCAAAAATATCTGCAAATGAAATGGAATTCTTATGGAAAATACTTTCACTTGACAAATCTACTTTTCTACTGCATTTTCTTGGTCTTCGTCACGCTTTATGGCTATCTATTGATGGGTAACGCGACGGAGTTTGAACAAACGTCTAACATCCCGCCACAGACTAATGTAACAAATAATTCTGGAAGCGCAGTTGTGCCAACGAACAACACCCTCAAGGCATCCAGTAAGCAATTTATAATTTTTTTTTATAATTTTAAATATTTATAAAGTAGCATATCAAGAGTGATAATTTTTCTAAAAATGCAATATTAAATAGTATTTTAAAAAAAAAAAACATTATTATAATTATAATTAAATTTAAACAAAACACTTTAACGGTTTAAAACACGATATATAATAGTTAAACTTATTTATATTTTTTGATAAGTATTTTATTGAAATGTGTACTACTCGCGTAAGCTGCTAACAGAGTATAAAATTTAAATTTTCTATACTTGCGAAGAAATTAGTTTTGTCATATTGTTTATGTGGTACTTTTTAACTTCAAGTAAGGTCTGCATTTTAGGCAAGTAACAAATATTTTCATAAAACCGTTTTAAAGATTTAAAACTCGAAATATATAAGACCCGATGTCTCGGATGCTTTGCAGTAACGCTCAAAGTCAAAACTACGTTAGCGTCATCTGATGTTTTACAGTAATCAATACGACTTTTTTAGAACTGACTTAAAACTTATCTCTCTACTAATTATATTTTCATTGTTAATATGTTTTATTTCAGGTAAAATTGTCATTTTCCCCTTTACCATAGCCCTAGAAACCATGGTTGCGCTTTACACTAGTGCGATAGCCATATTGTCCTATAACTGTTTCTGTCTCATACGAGAACTGTATAATATAAAACAGCAGAAGTGGCACTATCTAACTGATCCTTCCAACTTTGTATCCTGGATTCTATACGCTAGCTCAACTATAATGGTTTTGCCGTCTTCGTTTCCGTCGTTCTCTGAAAATTTACAAGTAAGTTTCGTTTCGTGGATTTGTTTAAAACACATAAGTATATTTGTGAATCAGTGAAAATTAAACGTCTTCGTAAATTTAGATATTATGTGATTATTGAGCTTTTAGTACGTGTTTGTTAGAAAATTATGAATATATAAGGTATGTTTTCAATGTTGAAGGTTGTTTTTAATATAATCTAATATAGCGGTAGAAATATATTCTCTCTATTACTTAGATCGAAAGATTATTTTTTGCCCCAAAATTTTTAATTTGTAAAATTTTGTTTACTATATTTTCGGTTGAGATTTTTTGTTTAAATTCAACATAAATAGTGTAATACAACAGAAAAAGTGTTTAATTTAATATACGTAAAAAATATCACTACCACAGATCTTTGTTCTTTTCATGAAATAAGTTTTTTTTTTTAACTTAAACCTGTTTGTTTCAGTACTCAGCCGCATCAATAACGATGTTTTTGTCCTGGTTTGAATTGCTGCTTCTCCTGCAGCGATTCGACCAAATCGGGATATACGTAGTAATGTTCTTAGAGATCTTGCAAACACTTATAAAAGTTCTCATGGTATTTTCGATCCTCATAATTGCATTCGGACTATCGTTCTACGTACTGCTGTCAAAAGTTGGTTATACTCCTACGGTATTTACTCACAATGCGAATATTACACCACGTATTTATGTATAGTATTTTATATTAACAATTTTTAATAGAAAATCTAAATATAGTGGGTACTTGCCTGTTTAGGACGTTCTAGAAATTTTCTATATCTATATCTATTAATTAATTATAAATATTCTTCAAATAATCGATAGAATGAAATAAAAAATGTCTACTTTAAACAAGTATGTACCTATTATGAAATAGTTCCTTTTCTTATGTTTCTTTCTCAAAGATTACTAGTAGCGTATCTTTTATTTTACATTTTTCCTAGGTACAATATGTTTAGATGTTCAATTATGTTCAGTTTGGATTTCCTAATACAGCCTCATTGATAAACGTAGAACAAGAAAATTTCGATATTCAATTGTCCATCTCTATCAGACAGATGTCACATGGAATTTGCATGAAAGAGACAAATTTTAAAACAACTCGCTTCCCGTTGACCGTTTATTAGTGAGGTAATGTGTACCGGATACTCACTAGCGAGTTATATTCAGTACGAAAATTTTGAATTGTGAATCTATAAGAAATGCCTATTTTTTCCTTGGTTCGTCATGTTCTAAAACAAAACACATCGTAAGGTACAGCTACGATCAGCTACTGAGTATCCGGCGTTTAGTAGTAGTTCGATAATACACAAATTTAAAACCAAAGCAATCATGAACAAAGTAAATTTAGTTCGTTGTTGCTTATTTAATATGTTTTTTTGTCGTTCTCTATTGAATCGGAAAGTACAATATAGGTTTTATGTTTTATAATTTTGAAAGTTATTATAGTCTATGGTGTGGAATCACCAGTAATTGTTATATTCATGAGAAATAATTTCCCATCGATGCTAAATTCTAAATAAAGTTATGAATACAATATAATTACTTCCAACGTTCCCTTTAACTATCTATGTTAAGCTTGTAGAGTTCGACCGAGACTTGGGCCATATAAAAACAAATACCGCTATCATAGCGAGAGAATTCATTAACTTAACGGCGGCATTAGCTTAGAGCTAACCAACCTTCGGTCAAACACTAATAACATATACAGTAGAAGTTAAGTCTGTGCTACGCGTTCATGACGTCATGAAAACCAAACTACCTTACAAAATATTGCGATGGTGCTTATGCGTTTTTCATTTTTGGCTCAGCGAATTTCATGAGCTTGTCATTTCAGGGTCACCACCTTTCCTTTCACAGCATACCTATGGCTCTGATGCGAACATTTGCTATGATGCTAGGAGAAATCGATTTTGTTGGAACATATATTCACCCATACTATAAATCTGAGACAGATGTGTTTTTACCTTTCCCATTGATGACTTTCTTCATCCTCGGTCTGTTTATGGTCTTCATGCCGATTCTCTTAATGAACTTGCTCATTGGTTTGGCTGTTGGGGATATTGAGAGTGTTAGACGAAATGCACAGCTGAAACGTCTTGCGATGCAGGTAATTAATGCCTTAAATGAACCCTTTACATACTTAACAATTCTAACAAATACGAAAACTATATTTCAGTATGGTTTTTATACAATTTCCTATTAATTGTAAGTGCTGTAAAATATATTTTCTTATCTATACCTTCATTCTTAAAATAAGCTTAGTTTTGTTTTTTTAATTTTTTGTTATTATAAAACTACGTATAACACAGGTATTAAATACTTGGACGTCAAGTTTAAGTTTAATTTTTAAGCATCAGCAAAAGACTGTTCTTCTTACTGCTTCAAAAAGACGCGTGAATTTTAAACTTCTTCGACGTTTTGCAAATTTGTTTTAAGAAACGAACAGCAAGAATAACCAAACTTCTTTGTAAAGGTTGTCCTACACACGGAATTGGAAAGGAAACTTCCCGCATTCATTCTGGAAAAGGTCGACAAGAACGAAGTTATTGAATATCCTAATACTAATCACAGTAAACTTGGTTTTATTGATACACTTCTGCGCAAATGGTTCAGCCATCCATTTTCAGAAGACGGTAAGTTACCTCGATTTCTTGATTTTACAAATAATACTGTGTCCTCAAATATTGTACCGTATCTACCATAATGATATTTTGTTTCATTATAGGAAACTCAATAAAAGCATATAATGATTTAAGTTTCCAATAGATATAAAATAAAATTACTAACTAAATATCTTAAATTACAAACTAATATTCTATGTCTGTAGATAGCGTTTTGTTTTTTCGCTTACCGATTTGTGTATTTATTCTGTAGTCCAGTCCATTAAGAGTCCATAACTCAAAATTAACTACTACTCTCTGTTAATCTAGAAAATGTTAGAACAACAAAGCTCTTTAAGTTTAAGTTAAATAAAAAGAATAGGAAGTGTCGGTAGTTTAACCTTTACTAATAGTCAAAATTATAGTTAGTAATACTTATCCTATTTTTACTGATCCTTGGGTAATGACATCTCTTTCTCACAGCAAGCCTTGATATTGTTCTCGAAAGTAGCGAAGACTATATGGCGGCACAGCTAGAGAAACAAAAGCATAGGCTACGTGAAATAAACAATTTGCTTGAGAAACAGCAGAATCTTCTCAGACTTATAGTACAGGTAAAAATTGATTTTATTCTTATCACTAATAACTAAACTAACACTACAAATTTTGACGTAACGTTGATGTAATGGTCGATGGATTGTATGGCTAATAATTAACGGGTCTTGGGTTCGTTCGCCTTACTAGGTCCAACAAGATTCCAATTTTTCAATTTATAATTTTTCTGAAACATGTTGGACCTCATCTGGGAATCTGGATATTAAATTGGTGGTAGGAATAATATAATTCAGTCCGGTCACCAACCATCGTCCACAGATGAAAAAACCGTGAAGCTTAATCGCGTTTTTAGTCTGTGGATTTTCGAATCTAAAGCCAAAATAGATCGACAGCGCACCTTGTTTAGGTGCTATAGGCGTCTAACATCTAGTGAATCTCATCCTCCTCTATTATAAAAAAAAATAGATTATTTTAAAGATCAGAGACCAGTAAAGAAAAATATTAATATAATAGAGTACTTGTTGATTCTTTCCGCATAGAAAATGGAGATTAAGACAGAAGCAGATGACGTGGACGAAGGCGTAACTCCAGCTGAAAGTCGCTATGCACCCAGATGGAACTCACCTCGGATTCGCAAGAAGTTGCGCCATGGATCATCTTTTAATAAAAGCATCTAAACGTGAACACCTAGTCTCAAATAACGCCCCTACAACAAAATAACAATACAAACATTAAAAATAAAGTTTATTTTTAATAAGCTAAAATTCAAAATGTCCGCCAAATCTTCCTTCTTTTTCCGCAATTATTTCGTAAACTATAATTCAATTAGATTATGCCTGGGAAATAAAAAAGTCAGTACATATACGTATCGGGTCCTACGCACTATGCTTTCTTACCCTCCATATTACCCCCCTTGAACTATTTCAAGAATCCAGGATAACAAATATCTTATAATATACAAATAACTAACATTTTGTCGTGGTAGTATCAATGTGTAACACGAATTTCTAGCTGTTCTTATTGTTGTTTATAGATCCTTGTTGTAAAATAATATAATATGTAGTCATTTAAATAATTGTAAGATCGAGGGAATGTGACCTGTCTATTATCGATATATCGATTTTACATTAGTAAGTATAAAAGGTCACTGTTTCTTTTGTGTATGTGTTTTATGTTACAGCGTTTTAAAAATGAAAAATATTCTTCCTTTAAATTTGTATGTTTCACCGTTTTGCTTACATTTTCAATATTTATCATCAAGACACTCAAACACACTTAATACGTATAGTGACACTACAAATCTACAATGCAAAGAAACACTCGTTATAACCAAATTGCAATAGCGTAGTAAACAAGTACAAAATTAAGTTCGAAAAAAAACGTATTGATGTATTAGCGGCGGTACACGTATAAATAAAAAGCTTTTGAAATGCGAGTTAAAACAATTTTCAAATAAGTTTAACTAATATATATCGCGTATCAAACCGTTACTTTATTTAAATATTGACGTCGATTTAAATCCAATTCAGAAATTTTGTTTTATCGAAACTTCGTTATCGTTTCTTTATCTGTTAACGTGCTCTGACGAAAAAACTAAATCATCGTACATTTTCGTCTCTTCTACCACTTCGTATTTTTAATTCCTCTTTATAATATTTAACATTAGTTTATATACATATATAGTATATATATAGTTTATATAAAGTGTTTTAGTTAGGATATCATTAGACTTATATTTAGATTTAGTACTTAACAGAGCAACTGGTATAAATGAGTTTGCGTGTGCCTTTGTAGAGAAAGTATTTTTGAGAGGAAGAATTTTATAAGGGTCTATGCTTTGGAGCATGAATGAATTTACGTAGATGTTAGGTATTTAATATATAAGTATACTACTATAGTTGTTTCTCTATAGAATGGTACATGCGACAGTTCAATAATACAAGGCAAAAAAATACCATAAGAAAGCAAATGAAAGCTTGTGTAATTTTTTACTTTGATTGTTAAAACAAGTTTATTTCTAACATCGATTCAAGCCACCGCCAATGACCATGGTTCTATAATAATAATAAAAATCATCGATCTTTTTATTGACGCAAGACTAAGCTATCGTCAACAAACCGATGTCTATTAATACAAGAAATTAAACGCCTACGAGTGCTTTCGACAACTCGGACCCAAGCCTTTTCAAAATGGCCTGTCTGCTAGGCTTGCACCCTTTACATCTTTAGGCGATGGACATGTGGTAGAATACAATTTTGTTGGCGTCTCTATGGTCGCTTGTAATTTTCGTATTGGGTTTTATCGAATTGTGACTTATCACTCATCCTATAGAGAAAGAACTATGCACTTATTATAGTTATACATTAGTATAAACGTATATATAGTTATCTTATATATAAGCAAACATCAAACATCATAACACATCTCAGGTCATTTTAACTGAAAAATAAAAAAAAGGGGGAAAAAAATTTTTTTTTAGGACCAGTATTACAAACCAAGTCATTCTTTATTAAAAATCTTTTAATTTTATTTCCGTTACTATTAATTGTGTTTAGTACTAGTGGTTTTTGTTATTGTTACAATAAAGTTGTTATAAAACAGGATATAAATAATTGTTTAAAAGAAAAAAAATTAACTGGTGCGAAACATAATAAACAATTAATTGAAACTGCGAATCAACGGTTTGAATACGTTCAGCAAACGACATGGGGATTTCTTTTCTGATATTGATTTTGAAAGGTCTCCACCCGTTTGAAATTGTTTTATTTAATTTATGCCGCCCGCGTAAAATGTTTTCCTACTGTATGTTACATTTTCCTATTAAAACGAAACGTGCTTACCTAATAATAATGCGTATTATATTATTATTGATTCAAATGTATGTATGAATGCAAGTAGAAAAATCCTTAACAACCCATGACATTTGAATAGCCGAATGATTGTAATTCTATAGACACAATGTGGTGTAATATTAAATTTATTAAACTTCAAAATATTCTATATTACTCGGTGTTATAATATTAACAGAAATTACTGTAAGATACAAATATATCAATGTCTATTATATGTTTGTGAGCTTTTAAAATGGATGTGTATTGACGAATTTTTTCCATCATCATTGTTTCCACAGTTAGGACGTTATACGGGCCTCCAGTTATTCAGCCCAAAGGGAACGTTTTCAAAGTTGCCAATTTTAAAAGCTCATATACTAAATATATACCATAACTTGTTGTGTTAAGATTGTGTTTGGTGTAGCAAATATGTTTCTATTCTTATCTTCATAGTCGATTAAACTTATCACAGTTAGTCTAACTCTAAATAAATGCAGGTACTCACTGACTAGCAGAAACTCCTGCCAAGAAACAGCTATGCTTATTACTATGGGCCGTAAGTCAAAGCAAATAATACGAAGACCATGTTTTGTTATTAATAGATGCAACGATAACTCGTTAGTGAGTACCGGGCTGGATATATCATTTTAATTACAAGTATTATAGATGTACTGCTTTTGATTTCGTCGCTTAGTACTTGACGTCTCTGTAAACGTACTACTCTGTAGAACTAAGTGTAAAACGAATAAATGTCGTAAAATTATCTCTTAACAAGATTATCTATGGTCTAGTCAATGCTGATAGAAATTCATCGATGTGCATCCCACCTGAATCCTATATGTCTGTAGATAATAGATTTAGCATACACTACATAAAATATGAGACGATAATTTTCACAGTTCCCATAGGCATGTATGTACGAGTATGTGATTATTATAAGATAATCTTTTCTCATGACATAATAAAAACATATTTATATATCCATATACAATAGTTACGAATATAAATGGAAAAAGATATCCCATTATTGGGTCTAGCCGTAATCCTTCCATCATTCACAGATCAATTATCAGTTTAATCAGTTATCATGTGGTATTATTAAATTTCTGTATGAATCTGGTATCTGAATACTGTCTATAGTTTACGCGAGTAGTACACATTTAATAAAACACTTTAACGGTTTAAAACGCGATATATTAGTTAAACTTATTTGAAAATGATTTTTAACTTCGGCCCGACGTTTCGGATGCTTTGCAGCAGCCGTGGTCACGGGGAGATCATTTTCAAATAAGTTTAACTAATATATCGCATTTACACCGTTAAAGTGTTTTATTTAAAATAAAATTCTGATCAAATGAGAACTGTAAAAATTATGTCTATATAAAACTAAGTATAACCTTTTATGTTCTCGAGCTTATAAAATAAAGGTAATGTTATGTACAGACGGGCAAAACAGTGTATATTTTATAGAAAGATACCAAATTTTAAGAGCTCCAGAACGTTTATTTAATAATCATGTACATGTTCTTTTTTTCGAAAATAAATATTACTGTTGTGGATGTTTTATTTAAATCGTAGAAAATACAAAATAAACTTATTTTTGGTTTAAAATGAAAGAAAATACTTATTATAGCTATATTCTCAGAAATGTAAATATATTAGAAGAAAAGCCTGCTTCAAAAGAAAAAAGGCGTGACAAATTAAATATTAAACAATCTATATTTAGTCAAAGGAAAGGTAACAGGGAAAAGAAATATGATTTAACATTGAAGTCACTCACAATTTCACACCAATTTGCAGAGAGGTTTTAATGTTTTTCTTGTAAATAACGAATTGAGAGACCTAAAAATAAATTTAAATTAGTTTTAAAGATATTAATTATGTTTTTCTGAATAGTCAGTGAATAATTTTTGTCTGTTTCCTTTCACTTAGTAACTTTTTAACGGGAAAACTATTACGGAGACCATTCCCCGGTTGAAGGAAACTATGCTTTCACGAGATTCAAATCCAGGACCTCTGACGTTTAACCATTAAGCTCCAAAGGTTCCTGAAAATTAAGTTAGGTTAAATACATATACTTATTGTATACTATGTATAATAATAAGTATGAATGCGCTAATCATAGGATCTACTGGTACGAATTGAAACTATTTATGGAGGAAGGCTTTAGGCTATAAAACATCAGGCAGCAACCAACAGGAGCGATAAAAATAGAGGAAAATGTAGGAAATCGAGTGTAAATTCATATTCCGTTACGTGCGCTGCGATAAAGGTATATAATAACGGCAAAAAATTAATATGAAGAACTTATTTTTCTCTAAATGATCTAAACAAATATTGCATAGAATATCTTGTCTTTTAAGCTTAACTCGCAAGGACGCCGGGAGGCGGACGTCGCTTTGGGTAGAAGGAGGTAGCTTGCAAAAATAAATATTTCACGCGAAGGAAGTCGCAGGCACAGCTAGTTAAAATAAAATATCTAAATCCGTACAATATTTTAGAAGTCATGAAAGCATTAGCATTGTCATTGACAACCTTTATAGAAGTTAATAGCGCTAAATCCATCGTTCCGGCTGTTGGCTCCGCGTGCAATAAATACATACAAAGAAATTGTCACCATCCAATTGTAATGAGAGAAATTTTACACCATTGTTCCCCTTCCTTCTATAATATTATAAATAGAGAGCGAACCGTTTTTCACATTTTAAAACTCATTATCATGTCGCGAATAATGCACTGGATATTATTTTGTAACGTGTTTGTTATTTGCTGTGGATTGGAAGAGGGTAGTTCAGTTAAGAAAAACGTACCCGCCGTTAATCGAACTTTGAGACGATTTCAAGGTTTCAGAAGACCAGAGGTCCGCTTTTGGCCGACGCACAAAGAGAGCAGGTGTAAGAATTTCGAATTTATATTGCATATATAGCTACATAATAAACAATCTTTTTTATACTGTCTGTAGTTTACGCGAATAGTACACGTTAAAATAACATACTTTAATGATTTTAAACGCTAGATAAATTAGTTAAACTTGTTTGAAAACTATTTTTACCTACTAACATTCCTAGTTTATTAGTAAATTAAATAATTTTAAAAATATTAACCTGATCAAAAATTCACTAGATTAATTTATTATTTTTTAATTTACTACAACCAAAAATGACTAGAATAGAACCTAATAAGATTTATTGTTATTATGAAAACTTAATAATACGTATAACACTAATATGTTATACGTGCTGAATTAACCACGAAAATTTATTACAACCAGTTGACTCGTTTCGGACCCCGAACGTACAAATTTTTGATTTTTGGTGTTTTAAACATATTCATTAATATCTGTTTTTGTACGAAAATTCTATATTTTACATGATTTTTTTACAATCCAGTCTTATCGTTGTTCACTGTGGTAACATTTCCTAACGGAGCATGCGCCGGCGCATCTGGCGACAATGGAACGTGTATGGCTGCGCGTGAGTGCTCGTCAAGAGGTGGATCAGCAAATGGGTACTGCGCCAATGGGTTTGGACTGTGCTGTATTTGTAAGTATAATGGACAACGACTGCAAAAGATTTTAATTTTAGAACAAAGAGGTCGCATGAAATAGGAATTGACCATTATGTACCACAGGCCCGCATGTAATATAATAATAATCTCTATAAAATATAATAACTATACGACTGTCTGTATGTTTTTATTTGTCTAGATTTTGCTTAAGCTAACTGTTATTCATTTATTATACGCATAACGATAATAACTTACAGTATATAACTTTTCCAAGTTACTACTACTATATTGTATTACTACTATATTGTAATTAAATAATAATTAAACTTGTTGCAAAGCGCTTAAACGTTCCACTTATCGTTAGCATGTCATCAACGCATTCGAGAAATAAAATATAATGATTTAACTTATATGTTTATTGCGAATTGTATAGTATTTAAAAAACATTACAGTTTCTTAAGAAAACGATTGTTACTTTCTGATACGTAAGCCAAGCGAATTGTAGAAACGAACTTTTCAGTTATGACGTCATGCGGCAGCACAACCACTGAAAATGGGACATATTTCGTAAATTCCGGTTATCCAACGCCCTATGATGGGACTGGTTCTTGTGAGATTACTATTAATAAATCACATCCGGCTGTCTGCCAAATAAGGTAATATACTAGTTTATTTGTAATATACTAGTTAATAGTTTGTTTGAACGCGCTAATCTCAAAAATTACTGGTTCGAATTAAAAATTTTTCGTGTTGTTTAGAACATTTATCAAGAGCTATAAAACATCGAGCTGTGCCGGAAAATGCGGAAAAAACGGGGAAAATTATATCTTTGGGGATTTTCGTAGCATGTGCTGCTAAAATCGGTTGAAGATATCGAAGAAATATCAGTATGAAAGAGTTATTCCTCTTCATTGATGTCCGCGACAGTATATCATGTCAATGATACCATTAACCATAAAACTTCTAAATTCTAAAAATAAAACGAATTTAACGAGTTTTAACTCATTTTATATCTAAGTTAAAAATGAAGACTTGTTTTCGTTGCATGTAGCAGATTTATTGTCTTTTTACGCGGTTAAATAAGATTTTATTATAAGTTTTTATTCGCGATAACAACAACGTTTAACTTTCCTATCTAATCTAATATCATAAAGGTTTAGTTATAAAGTCTTTCTTTTATGTTATGGGACAGACACATTTTTGTATCTCTGCCATGTTTTATGAACAGGAAGTAACTATAGCAGTTTTAATTTAAGAATCGAAAATAAATTGAAAAAAATTTCGACTCGGGCAGGACTTGAACCGCCATCGTCAGCGTTCCGTGCTGTTATTCTACCAATTCTTAATTTATACATACATATATTATATATACATGTAAAAAATAATAAAGTTTTCAAATATTGCAGTTTTATCAATCACTAGTTTCATAAACGTAAAGTTAAACAATGTAATAAATAATTGAGGCACAGAGTTGATACTATATTTAATTCCGGAAAGACAACTTCACATACGAGCTTCATTGAGATAAGAGCATAATATAGTACATTTGTTGCTCGTAGAACTTCGTAGCACGTTCGTAGACTTCCAAATTGTGTAAGTTAGATATGTTGCGAAGGCATTACATAATAGTTACATTACAGCGATGTGAAGTTATCCACTACCGATTATATCACTTATTTTTCTCTCCGTGATCCGAAGCCAGGACCATTGTATCCGGCAATAATAGGCAGCGACATATAGAAGTATTATAGGGCTTTTGTTAATAATAATAAACTTCTCTATTGTAAAAAATATTTTATTTTCATATAAATAGTGACTTATTTAATCACGATAAAACTGTGAAATAAACATAAATAAATGTTAGCAATTCAAATATCAGTCCATACAAAATAAAACATCTTTTCATTTATACATTATTCTTAACTATATTTAATTAAAACAATCATAATTGATAAAACAACTCAAAGAAAAGTAACATATCCCCAATGATATTGTAGAAATTATAGTCTATATACATCAGAACGAGATTTCTGAGTCGCAAACTCTTGTCAGAAACAGTTCAAATTAAAAAGTATTATATACGCCCAAAGAACATACGAGACATCCCTATGAGCATGGAGCAGATACAGTGTCTGTTTTTTTCTGAGCGGTTCAAACCTAGGGCGACATATTTAACAGTTAAATCAACTCTACTTAAAAAAACTCTACTCTAATATTCTATGTATACTTACCAATAAGCTAAACAAAACTTACACTCTAACAAAGAAAAATAACTGTTTTTAAGGTTGGATTTCGATCGCTTCTCTATCGCTGGCCCGGAGAAAATAAACAACGTCTGTAACAGAGATCAGTTTATTGTGTCCGGGGGTAACCCAGTCCCCGCTATCTGCGGCTTGAACCAGGGCAACCACAGTAAGTATTGACTTAATTATGCTCGAAGGCATTACTGTCCAACAACTGTACATTGTGTTTCAACGATACGTAAAACAAGGTAAGGAAAGATTGGAGATGGAAAATTCCATTCAGTTTTAACCGAATTTACTGATTTAAATAAATCACTTTTAACGGTTTAAATGCGAATTGTTACTTTTGTAAAAAAGTTAATTTCATGTTTTACGTTAAAAGTGGTTATTTCAATATTTGGGTAAACTATATAAAACACGAATTTACTAATTGAAATAAACCAATTTCAACGGTTTAAAGCGCGAAATGTATTAGTTAAATAACACAAAAAAGGTCGGGCCGTAGTTAAAATAATTTTCAAATAAGTTTAACTACTATATATCGCGTTTTAAACCGTCGAAGTGTTTTATTTTAGAGTACAAACAGTATTTATGTATTAGTCAACTTTTTAACAATTTGTAACAAGCAGCTAAAACGTCGGGCTGTACTACCGACTACATACAAAACGAATTTACCGAACTCAACCGAACTTCCACTGGATAGAAATGATACTTACATTAATGATTAAAATTGATAAAAAACAAAAACCAAAATTGTAGTTAAACCAAACGTGACGCAAAATTCGGTCTAACGTTTAATTTGAATCGAAATCGGTTAATCTACATTCGTTCAGCCCTCCGCTATAAAATATGTTATCTACCTTAACATATGAATAGTTTAAAAATCGCTGACCAGTTTCTAGCGAGTACAAAGAATTTAATAACAGTTACCAATGTCCGTAGATGGAAATTCCATGAAGTTTTCAGCTTCTAGTAACTTAGGTTGTAGAGTATTATTTTGATACAATCAACAACCTCTTTTAAGCATAGTGAGAAAATTAGAAAAAAACAACATCTCATAATATTATTATTGTTTTTAGAATTCGCTTAAATAAAGAACTAGAGATTATTGTTATATTACAATTAAGTACAAAAGGAGTTTTAACAAAAAATACATAACCGTTACTTTGACTTCCATGCAAGAAGAGAGAAAAAATATAGTTCTGAAGCCTTTTTTTCAATTATGTCTGTAGTTTACGCGTGTAGTGTACATTTTAATAAGAGACTAACGGTTTAAAACGCGATATATATTAGTTGAACTTATTGGAACATTATTTTGACTATGGCCCGGCGTTTCGGACGCTTTGCAGCCGTGGTCACGGGGAGACTTTTCGGGACCACGACTGCCGCCAAGTATTATTTCGCCTTTTAAACCATTAAATGTTTGAAAAATTTAAATACAAATTTCTTATTTTATCTTACATCTGGTGAATCACTTAAATGTAGCCTCTACGGGTATGGAGTAGGTACATTCATGTGTCTGCCTGTTCGATTTCGATTTTGGTTGAAGGCTACATTCATTTTTTTCTACCGCTTAATGCATTACATGTTATTTATCTACTAATGAAAAATATGATCGCATTCGCGCCAGTTGTGTGTTACGTTATGTATGTAAATTTAATTATGTTTTAACGTCGCTTCTACCTGGACCACGATATTAATTAAAATCCATTACAAGCCCTGAAATAATAATAAACCCGACAACGTTTGTTGACTCATCAAATACGAACCGTTGTTTTTTGCTTAATTTCATTTAGAACTTACTAGATAACATTTGTCATTGTATGGCACAGAGTATTATTTGAACAATGTCATAATGTGGTAAAATAATATTTAATATAATTAAAATGTAACAAAGTGAATAAATGGACGCAAAATTTGTATAATGGGAGATAAAGAAATCGGTCTGGCAGGGCACATAACTTTGATAACTGTTTGCAGTTATTCACTGCATATTAGACTTTTTTTTTAAACAGAGTAGGACAGACATCGTTCTATTGTTGGGGGGAAATAACCCCCCCCCCGCCCCCATTAGGCAAGCAAATGACCGTCGACCTATTTGACTTTTGATAGGAAAATCCACAGACTGATAACGAAACGCGATAAAGTTCTCGGTTTTTTAATCTATGGTTGGTAGTTTGTGTTCCGAGCGGAATTTCTATATTCCTACCAAACATTTGAAATCCAGTTTTCCAGACGAAGTCCAACATGTTTGAGAGAAATTAGAACACCGTTGGACTTGAACGTTCTTCTTTGAACTTTCTTCGACCCGTTGATTATTATACACATACATTGCTGTTAGAGTCAAAGTATAAGTCAAAAATTCATGTAGGTAACTATGTACACTTCTATCTAACTTTACGTTTACTCCCAGTTCTCAAATCAAGGGCGTGGAACGAACGAGAAGAACTGGCAATAAACTCACCGCTGCAAATAAACCAACAAGCCCGTCAATGTTATTTACACATTAGGCACGTTTAACACCTGACTTTCGATTGTTCTAAAGCAGTAACGGGCGGACTAAAGTTGGTGGATTTGACATATTTTTTTTAGTGTACATCGATGCTGGTATAGGCACTACGAATCCAGTTAAACTAACATTCGTCTCGGGTGGAACACCTTTTGAGAGAATATGGAAAGTGAAAATCACGCAAATTCCTTGCGATACAATATATAAAGGTATGTCTAGTCCTAGATCAAGCAAATTTTAATACTATATTTGTTTTCTAAGTTCGCAGTTCGGAAGTGAGAGAGGTCATTGACCTCACGCTTCGGATAAGACATTATAATGATATATTTATTCATTAAATTAGCACGGTATAGTGACTTACACTAATTAATAATTTAAATATAACACTTTAACGGTTTAAAAAGCGATATTTATTACTTACAATATTTGATATTATTTAATTACGGCTTGACGTTTTGGATGCTTTGCAGCAGCCGTGGTCACGGAGAGACGTGGGGCCGTACTTAAAATAATTTCCAAATAAGTTTAAGTAATATATATCGCGTTTTAAAACGTTAAAGTGTCTTATTCAAATCTGTACTAATCGCGTAAACTACAGTATTCATGTATAGATGGAAAAAAGTCGGCGCGGTTTAAACTCACGACCAAAATACACTGAATACTCTCTATCTAAATAACCTCTCATGTACTTTTTGCAGCTGATGAAGGCTGTCTTCAGTATTATACGGGTGTCTCTGGCCAGCTGAAGTCTTTTAACTATGATCCTACATCTGGTCTGCAGTTAAGTAATCAGGACTATGGTATCTGTATACGAATGGAGAGGAATTTTTGCGGTATACAATACACTGCATGCACTGACACAGGTAACTTATCAGTACACGGTAACTTATCAGTGACACAGGTAACTTATTAGTGACACAAGATGGAATATTTAAAAGTATAGTTATAACGAGAATTGTAGCTATTTAAACGTCAAGTACTATAAATATTATCAAAAATGGTCCGCCTCTAGAATTTAATGGTTCAAAGTGGTGCCAAGTAGTAATAGAGGCACTGGGATACTAATAATGGGATACTAATAGATTGTTACTGTCGGGTGGGGGACAGAAGTCTTATCAATGAAACAACACAGAAATGTGTTTGCCCATGCCACATGGGTAAAAAAAGATTTCACTTCCTTAATTATAAAAAATGACAGCGTTAGGGCTTTTTAAGACCAATGTTAACTTCACAAATACACATAGATATATATAAATATATCCTAATCCTTACTAATATTATAAATACGAAAGTAATCTATCTGTTACTCTTTCACGCCAAAACTACTGAACAGATTTGATACACAGATGGTCTAGGCACTGAGAAAGAACATAGGCTACTTTTTATTGCGTGGTTTTTGAAGCTAGAACAATTAAACTTTCTTCTTTGCCTTTTTTGGAATAGAAGTGGGAGTGGGAGTAGAAGTGGGAGTGGGAGTTAGAGTGGGAGAGACGTGAGGTGAAAGTGTTGCGGCAAAGTAGCACTTACGACATAGATTGGTTGCGATAAATGCGCAATTACATAAGATAATAAACAGCCTAAATAATTAAAAATTCTACCCCAAGTCACTATTCCTCGCGAACGAAGTCGTGGGCACAGCTAGTATATTTTATATAGTATAATCATAAGTATTGATATTATAGTAGTTGATCACAAGATCGCTGAAAAAAGTTCTTGTGTTTTCAGTGAACAACCGTTCCCGATCGTTCACACTAAGCGGGAACAGTAATAGTCCAGTGAATTCCATGACCGGTTCTGGAGTCGGACCAAACAATTGTGCCAACGACTGGCTGTTAATACCATGTGCTGCAAACGTTGGCAGGGTCCAGCCAGCGCAAGCTTTGTGCACGGACAGGATTTGTGGGGGCACTTTCTCCGCTGATTTATCCATGCAATCTGCTTCAGTATTGAGTAAGCATCAAATAAATTGTTCCATCGGTATTATTCACAAAAAAAATACTCAACCTTTTTTAATGTTCTGCGTGGTGCTATAAGTGCATACAGCCTCCTGAATGATGGTCGAGAGAAACAAAAATTGTAACACGACTCGACGAGGGTCGCATGTATATCTATCGACCTGTGTTACTGTATTACTGTAACTACAAACTATAACTAAAAACAGACACATATAACTAAAACACTTTTACAGTTTAAAACGCGATATATATTAGCTAAACTTATTTGAACCAGCCGTGGTCACGAGGAAACATCAAAGATGCTAAGCATCCGATACGCCCACCGTAAAAAAATTCAAATAAGTTTAACTAGTACATATCGCATTTTAAACCGTTAAAGTGTTTTATTTAAATGTATACTCGCGTTAGCTGCCCACTATCTTTAAACAGGTACATAGTAAAATCATGACCGCCTCTGTATCTAAAATGTAAAACTTCTTGCCTAGCATTGTGTTAAGCGCGAGACGTCCTGTCGATTCCCGGAGAAACAATAGATTGTTTTAGCAGGGCACGGGAGTCTTATCAACTGATCCGGACGAAATTTCAATATTACCAATATTCAAACTTTCCGAAGACGAAAATAAACTTGTTTTAAAAGTAGTTATTCATTTTTAGTAACACCTATTTGATTTTGTTTATTAGCCATATTAACCATTACCATTATAAACGAGCCACTGGAAATTCAATTTGTTTATTGTTTTCGGAAATCATTTCTGTTATTCCTCCTGAGAGACATTGATGTAGATAACCATAATATAAAGCCAATTAACCACAGCTTACCACCGGTGCCTTTACTTAGCAAATTAAGGGAGTGTTACTATAAAAATAAATATAATACCTTGGGAGTTTTCATTTGTGTCACATTGTAATGTTTAATGTCATTTTGTCTATGATAAACCCGTTTCCCCGTATGGGGCATAGAGCTAACACATTTCTGTGTCCGTTTTACTGATCGTTTATTTAAAAGGTTTATCATACTTCTTTGCCCTGTCTGACTGAAACTATCTATCGTTTCCCTGGGATTCGAACCCGGGACCTCTCGCGCTTAACGCAACGCTAGACAACACGTTTAACTGTATAGCTACAAAGGCGGTCTACGTAAACGTGAAAAACTTACATGAAATAAATATTTCAATGATTAAGAGTATAAAAATGATTGCTGGTTGTTCGACAAATCTGCCGATATGCACACACAAAGGAGTTTTCCACGGAAATTTTCCTCTTAATTGCATACGCTTTTAAAACTATATAAATTTTAATGAATACTCATCAATCTGGATATTTTGATGATGGAAAAATCTGAATTTCGCCTTAAACGAGTAATACTTAAACATAAAAGGTTATATTCAACTGAAAATTATATTGAAAAGAGAAATCTCATGTCCTACACATTAATTTTATTTGCAGACAAGTGCTGGTGTCATGTGAAACAATTTCTCTGAGCCATGAGAGGAGTTTTTAAAGATTATTTTCTGAATTTCAGCAACAGTGAAGCCATTCCGTCTTTGGTTTCACACTGACAACGTGGAGGCACCAGTGGATGTCGACAATAGAGGGTTCTGTTTGAACTACGTACAACAACCATGCACAAACAATGTCATTTGAATATACTATTTATAATTGCCTGGTGTTTGTTTTTCCATTATCCTAGTCTGAACATCCATTATATTTTAAAAGCTCCCTAAGACCTCATTTTTTAACAACTAAACAACTGTTTTGTTATTTTTTTCTTCGCTCATTATGGTTAAAAACGGGGATATAAGGGGGGGGGGGGCCCCCGTGACCACGGCTGAAAAGCATCCGAAATGTGCGGAAAAAAGTTAAAAATCATTTTCAAATAAGTTTAACTAATATATTTAATAATAAAAGAGTTTTCCTTCAGAATATTATAAATGCTTAAAAAATACACTTTGAGAAATAAAATATTTTAAATAAAGTATTTACAAGAAGCGGACTCCCCGAGAACCAAGCTCCTTGCCATGCATGTATGCATGCTGTGAAGCACCCAACACCACGAGTTGTGATTAAAAAATATATATATTTGTTATTTTAAAATGTTACTAATGTTTTCCATCATAGCGAAAGACGATATCGGTAAGATACATTTACACCGAAACTAAGGGTTGGTACTAAACAATAATAAGAATAAACAAAACAAAAGAATTTAAAAAAATATGTTTTTTTCTATACAAATTGAATTTTATGTGTAAATTCACGTTTCGAATCATGTAAGTGAAAATAGCTTGTATAGAAAACGACAACATCATAAATAAAAGGACTTAGGTGAACATTATGTTGTGAGATGTTTAGAACAATTTTATTACTATAGAAATAGAGGCTATTCTCGAAATACGCTGAGTTTAGCTACAATAAATTAATTTACAGCCCCGAAAGGCACTAACGTAGCGAGCGAAATATTTTACTTAATACAACTTTTAAGTTAAATCTTTTTTCTCGGTTGTAAAAAATGTTTGTTTTTATTATATCAGACACATTTTTGTCTCTATAAATATCGCTTACTTATCTACAGGAAACAGCCTCTTGACTCGGTCGATACTATTCATGTTTGGCCGGAATACGAACCTAAGACTTTCAGCCTTTACAACCGAGCCACCGAGTTAGTTAAACATTTAAAATTAAATTTCGAGAGCTGCGAAGCATCCGAAACTTCGGGCCGAAGTTAAAAATTTTCAAATAAGTTTATATAACTAGTATATATCGCGATTAAAACCGTCAAAGTGTTTTATTTAAAAATTTAATTTAGAGCAATTAAAGCTGAACGAAGTTGAAGAACAAATTGCTCTAATTATGAACACACCGAACTATTTTTTTGTTGTATTTAATTAAATACACTTTCGAACAAAATCATTTTGTTACAAACTCACGTATCAGAACCTTTCGAAGGAGGTCAGAGCAGAAAACCAATTATTATCAAACCTACGCGATCGCTAAGATAAAGTAAAATCTTGGCGTTTCTCCATCGAGTTTACTTGATCCTTTGTTCAGGCGTATAAAGATATTATCACTTTCCGAAGCGCGTAGGGACCACAAATCAAAGAATAACCGAATTTGGCCATTGTGTTAAACTGCCACCCAAATGGGCGTTACGCGTGTTTGAATCGATCGCATCAGATACCCTGCACTTATTCATGCCAGTATTACTTGTAAATACAGTTAACAATAGTATACGTGTAATTAAATACTTGATTCTTAATTATTACTTATATAGTAAGCATTCCTACATAAGAAATACATAATTACATAGGAAAACGGTAAATATTCTTAATACAAATGACAGGAAATGTGAGTAATGTTGTCAATTTTGAATTTAAATTTCGAATAGCCGTTAAATAACATTTAATTATAAAAAATATGCTGAGTTTAAGGTTCCGAATTTAAATATTACAGTTTACCAGTAAAATTGTCAAGTAAAAAACGAAAGCAAGGTTTAAAAATTTCCGCTATACAATAGTTATTATTAAAGACGTTCTTCCGAGAGAAGTTTACGACGAAGTGAGGAAATCTTATCATATACAGCGTTAGGTCCATGTCCTTATGATAACGCAGGGCTTACGGCGCTACAGGCTCCCAGCAGTGAACTCCCCTTTTTCGCAGGGAACGGACGTGCGCTAAACTCGACATCCTGGCGCGTTATTCCGACTCAACCACAATGGTGGTAACAGAACCATCAAGTAAGGCCTCCAAAAATTTATGTTACACGTCAGATATAACAATAATGTATACGCCATCAAACGCTGTCGTTTCTCACATGAATTTTTAATTGAAATATGGACCTGTGCTGTGTTTCAGTCGTCCACATATTGCCATCGGAGTGTTACGTTTGTATAAACGAACGTAAATGACGACCGTTTTGGAAATGTCCTCTCGCCAGCATTTGTATCCGACGATAGCGAATTGTAGATATTATTCATTCTTCGCGTGAGCTTTTTGTGTTCTTTGTTGTGATTTTCTATTATGTTTTTAGCGAACGATGATAACGACGCTGAATCGAAAACTTGCGGGAAGATATTGGTGGTGCTGTCCTGGATTTTGGTTATTGTTACAATGCCATTTTCACTCTTTATATGCTTCAAGGTAAGTCTAATATAATTGCTGGCGTTTTTAATTAGCTTTAAAAAAAATAATGTGTTTTGCTAACATTAGCTGAGTAAAATTATATTTTGAGTAAAACGATATTACGAGCTTATTTTTAAGAGTACTTTCTTTTGTTATTAAATTAAATACAGTTTTATTAAGTAATTTTATTTTACATCGAAACGGGAGTGAAGGAGCTTAAAATTGCTACTTCTTGAACGGCGCACTTAGCAATCAAAATTTGCATTTAACGTTGCAGCATTTTATCTTAAAAGTGAGATCACTTCAGAATATTAAATACGTGAATAAAATTATCATACGCGATACAACCTAATTACTTTAGAGTAAAATATTTTAAGGATATATGTAATTATAACACGAAGCGATATTATGAATTAAAATGATTTGTTGTAAAAATATAAACACTTAAATAAAACACTTTAACGGTTTAAAACGCGATACCCCGTGACCACGGCTTCTGCAAAGCATCCGAAACGTCGAGCCGTAGTTAAAAATAACTTTCTAATAAGTTTAACTAATATACATTGCGTTTTAAACCGTTAAAGTGTTTTATTTAAATGTGGACCATTCGCGTAAACTACAGACAGTATTTAATAAGCTGATTGTTTTATTGTTTCGTATTTTTCAAAGTCAAAATCTAATTAAAATCAATCATGAAGCACGAACTTAAAGTAATCCTAAGTGGATCTCCCATTTTGCACGGACGGCCGAAATTTCTTTCATTTAAGTTGTTCCTAAGTACTTTTTGTTTTATAAAGTAAAGATGATTTAACTATTGTTAAAATTCAGTTATATATATAAAATGTGTATTTTTTATTTCGTCTAATCTTAAGTACCTACAGTTTGATTTTCTATGGTTTTCGATTGAGCGAAAATATTTGCTATGGCGACTGCTCATTTATGCTTTAAATTTTAAATTGAAGTAATATTAGATAGCTACATGATAATATTGCAGTGAGTTAGAACAACGATGTTATGTTAGCCTTTTCTTTACTTAATTTTACTGTCAACGATAAAATTGATTTTAAATCCTACGTAAAACTGACCTACATTAGCTAAGTAGTGGCTTACAAATACGTTCATTTGAAGATAGTATAATAAAAAGACTTGAAAGATTTGTATAGACAAGTTGAAAGCTCTTTCAATAGAAATATAATGGCATTCAATATTTATATGAAACACAAGTAATGGAAACTGGTCAAGCATATATATGATAATTAAAGGCTTTGCTGAGGCTATTAATTACAAATACTAATATATAAAGCTGAAGAGTTTGTTTGTTTGAACGCGCTAATCTCAGAAACTAGTGGTTCGAATTGCAAAATTATTTTTTTGTTGGTTAGAACATTTTTTGAGGAAGACTATATAGAGGTGACTAGCTGTGTCAGCAACTTCGTCCGCGAGTCGTTCTGCATTAAAATTTTTACAAACAAAGGTTTTTACAAACCTCCTCCACATCTATTAAGTTATAGCTGTTACCCACAACGTCATCCGCGTCCCGTCGTTTTTGTAAGTTAATCTTAAAACACAGGCATATACTGTCGCGGACTTTTTTGAAATAATTTAAGGAGGAATCATTCTTTATTACATATTTTCGGGTATTTTGAACCATTTTCGTAGCGTACACATCGGAAAACGGAAAAGTTGGATAATTTTCTCCGTTTTTTAAAACATCGCCTTGTGACTAATATAAGCTAAGAAACGGCGGGAAAAGTGTAATAACCGGGAAAATTATTTACCCTTGTGAGTTTCCGTTGCGTACGGTACGACAACATTTCAATATACCAAAAAAAATATAAGCATGTATGATTCTTCTTTAATTGATATACCGTCTGCAACACTAAATGTCTATCTTTTAATATTAACTTGCGAGAAAGTCGGGACGTGACCGACGCGCTTCATGGATAAAAGCAGGAATTTATGAAGACTAAGAGGAAGTTTGCAAAAATAAATTTTGTTGTCCAAAATAATTACTCTACGCGGACGAAGTCGCTGCCTCAGCTAGTGACATATATTTATTAAAATAATTGTGTGCAGTTTTGGAATAGAATACTATTAACGCTTTAAAACGCGAATAATATTACTCCCTTATATTTTCAAACTTATTTATATCGTAAATTTTTCATAGAACATCGTGTTAAAAATATATATTGAACACAGATCACGATAAAAAATTCCACTCAAGCTCTCTTATTCCGGAGACTAATCAGATTAGGAAATTGAGATCAAGTATCGGATATTGGTGTTGTTGGAAAAATTTCTGCGAAAAATTTTAGACACAGGTGAATTTTCCCTCTGCCGAAAAGTCCAATTTTGGACTATAACATGACATCCCATTTTCCCATTCCTTTTATATGACAGAAGAAGACAGATAAGCATAGAGGTTGCTTGACAGTAGGTGAAATAATGCTGTCGGATTATTTTGGCCTTGGACTTTCGAAAACCAGCTTTAAGCCGAAACCGCGATTTAAGTTCTCGGCATTTTTACGGCAGACGGAATTTTATACCATCTAAACTATATCCAGATTGTTTCATAAAAATTAGATTTGATGGACGTGTTGGACCCGGGGGGGGAACGAATCTACGTCCTGTTGTTTACTAGAATTACATACTATGCTATCATCAGACCAACGAGCCTTTCATTTTTACTTTCTCTCTCTCTCTCTCTGTTACATAAAAATATCCCCAGGCAAGCTCAGAATTCGTAATAGAAGTCCTAATAAGAATAATAACTTCCCCGGACATCCGGAATCCGAAGAACTTCTGGTTTTCTTCACAAATTTAATGGCAGTAGTCATTTATACCCGACAACTCAAACAACATCGTGGTGGGTCTAACTTATTTGTCATTACTTGACTAGGGTACAGCTCTAGGACATTAGTAGGTTGAAACGAAAATAAATATAAAAAGAAGCTTCATTATGATGTCTAGAACATGGAATAGTAATAGGAAATTACCATGGTATGCTATACTTTATACAGAATATCCCAGCGGGTGTAAGTGACAGAAGCTCGGCAAACGGAATAAATGACAGTACGAAAGGCTGCGGTCTGCTATAAACGCTATAGACTAAAAATAATAAACGCGTTAAAATTGTTACGTCGATTGTATCTTGTTTCTCGATGGTCGGTATATCTTAGGTGACGTGTTGATCCCAGCGTTAGGTCCACTAACGAACGTGCATTTAAATATTTGACTGTATAAATATTCGTATATACATATGTGTCTCTAGTGAAGGCATGTTTGTAAAGAATGGAAATATCGTAAAATCAAAAAATTCGACGACTAGATTCTAGATCTTTTAACTTTGTACGTTTGAATTTTATTTGCAAGTCGTGTCTGCATATATATAATTTTAATTTTAAGATTTTTTCTCTGTATGTGTTTACTATTTAAACCATGTCTGGAAATTAAAGCTTTTTTTGTAGACCTGGTAAATAAAAATAAAGATCCCATTCAGCCAATACCAATACACCATAGATTTAAGTGTTAATCTCATTTTAAAAACAAATCCTTGATACGCCAAAGATAAAGACAGTTGATAAGAAATGCTCGAAAATGTCTAAATAAATACATAATCGGCGCTATGCGTTGTATGTCTACGCCTTCTACACATCTACGCTAACGTGTGAAAGAGACAACAATAGTACATTTGTATCATAGCAATGGATGACTCTCTGCGACCTATTGCGTTTAGATCAGACCGCAGGTTAACGGAAACACTGATTATACAGTCGAGCTTCTTTCATACTAGGTCACATATATTACGCTAGTTTTTGTGATGTGAAACCTCTATTAGTGGGCTTTGTTTCTCATACGGCGTCATGATAGCTTACGGCATGATTCTGTATGACGTTTATAGTTTATTTTCGTTATTAAAATGGTAAATAGACCTTATTATAGATTATACTCCTCTGTCCGCGCGTTTAACCAAGACTAACTCGTGCGCCGTTTTGGTCAACTTTTACAGATATTGTTTTTTTTTCTAAAACAACACCAATCAGGTTTAAATTAAATATGACAAAAACATAAAGCAACAACAAATACATTTTCAAATTTCTAGCTTAAAAGAAAATAATTATCAAGCGTCCTTTAAACAAGATTATAATTATTTGTCAATTTAACGTGAAGTCTAATTAATTCCCTCATTATAACAGTCTTTGAAATCCCTACGAAAACATATTTTATAAAAAATGCTTTGTATTTCAAATTAAGTAGCAGGAATCAAAAGAATTCAAGACGTTATTTTGTCCCAATCTAGTTAGCTTCTGTTTTTTCCGTAATTGAGAAATACCATCATCGTTAAATTAGTGTAAGTAATATGACACAGCAAAGTAAGGTTTAAATGAATCGTTTTCGATGCTTAATTTAAATAAAACACTTTAAAGGTAAAACTCGATATATATTAGTTTAACTTATTTGTAAATTATTTTAACTACGGCCCGAGGTTTCGGATGCTTTGCAGCAAGAGTGGTCACGGGGAGACTTGTTTTTGATAGATTTTTAAAATTTATTTTTAGTATTATTATTATAGCCATAAAATGTACATGCTGCCGTTAGTCACACAAACACGAGAGCGGACAAAAACAAGTGGATAATTCGTGTTTAACCAAAGCTAGGAGTGTAGAAATATAAAAATTAAAGTCAGTTTTTTACAGGTCGTTCAGGAATATGAAAGGGCCGTTATATTTCGCTTAGGACGTTTGCTCACCGGCGGCGCTAAGGGTCCAGGTAAGTACCTTTTTAACTACGATCAAAAGGTCAGATGAACCTTTATCTCTTTAAAGGTTGAAGGCCAACATAGTTTTAATACATACTTATTCAGTTATACATTATAACAAGTGGCTGTGTAATTTACACGAGTAGTGCACATTTGAACAAAAAATAAGTTATTTTTCTATTCTTCTGCGTTTTAAACCGTTTAAAGTGTTTTAATCAAATTATAACAAGTAGGTACATTTATGAAATATTTTCGATTGATCGATATCGGTGATTTTGGTAAAATATATCATTCTTACTTCTTACTGGTATTCTTAATATTTCTTGTTATTACAATAAGAGAACTCGAAATCTTAGCCTTCTCTTGTTTTTATGTAAATTGGAACTATTAAGTATTGCATTGCCTAGTCTAAATCATGATGTTCAATTTTTCTTTTTTTCTTAGGAATATTTTTCATTCTACCGTGTATCGACTCCTACGCGCGCGTAGATCTACGTACGAGAACATACGATGTGCCACCGCAGGAGGTAAGCAACGTGCTATGTATAAATCACATCCATTTCTTTCCATTTATTCTATATACTGTAGAATACTCATAAAAACTAAGTAAAAGAAAACTCAGCGATTCATTCGGTATTTGAATTTGTAATTTAAATTCCGAACCAGTCGTCCATTTTTACTGATGGCGATAATTAAATCCAGATGAAGTGAGGTCGAATTCTATTGAAAAAAATTAAATCTCGTTCAATTCCAAACGTTTAAATAACATTTGTAGGTCGCATTTTTGTACAAGTCCTTACTTGGAACGAAAAATTAATGTTGGTCCTTGGCTTAAAGGACCAAATCCATTTTCATTCTCTTTTGATTCAATGAAAAGCTACTAATTTAATTTCTTTTTGCAATATATTTTAATTTATTTGTAATAACAAAGATTTTAGATTTAATATTAACGTTATAATTAGCCTTGCTACATTAAAGCTCTTGCGTTCTTGCTTTAGTAGTCTATATAACATTTGAGCACACTAATTAGTAGTAGTAGAATATTTATAAAAAATCTTTCTCTATTCTTTTCTACGTATTCTTAATCAGAAATATCCGCAATAGTTTACGCCCCCGTTGTTTAGAGTTAGAACACGTTACTGAGCAAAGTGCTAAGCGCAGGTGGTTCTGAATTTGAATTCTGGGAATACAAAATAAATAGTTACAGCAGGCAAGTACATGGCTCTAAATAAAAATTGTTATGTAATTTATATAAAAATTATGTATGATACAGAAAGTCTCATTGTAAATGATATAAATATTTTTAATAAACAAATTTACGGTTATGTTATTATATATTTAAAACATTATCATTCTTGTACATGATTATTATATTCAAGTAAATGTGAGCTTTCTAGCAGTAAGATATGCATTATATGTTATATTGTATTTCTGTTTTCATTTAATTTCAATATTATTTAACCTAAATTGAAAAGTGTGTATGTTATCTTTTTATTTATTTTGTATGTTACAAAATTATGTTTTATATATAAGCCTTTTGTGAAAAATTGTGAATATAATTAACGATGATTTAATACCTTAGGTCCTCACCAAAGATTCCGTTACGGTGTCTGTCGATGCAGTCGTGTACTATCGCGTACACAATGCCACAATATCCATCGCTAACGTGGAAAACGCCCACCACTCCACCAGGCTCCTAGCTCAGACTACGCTTCGTAATACCATGGGGACTAGGCCGCTGCATGAAATATTGAGCGAACGCGAAACAATTTCAGGCAACATGCAAATCTCGTTGGATGAGGCGACTGAGGCTTGGGGCATAAAGGTTGAGAGAGTGGAAATGTAAGTACAGTACAGTACAGTATTCAGTAGACGTTTTGAATGCTTTTAATAGAAGCACTTTAATGGTTGTAAACGCGATATATTAGTTTTACAACAGCAATGGTTACAGGCTGTTTAGGGGAGTCATGGTCTTCCCGTGTCCACGGCTAACTTAAAATGAGTTTAACTAATATATAACGGGTTTTAAACCGTTAAAGTTTTGTTAAAATGTGTACTTCTCGCGTAAACTACAGCCATTATTTGTATGTCTGTTTAAATACAAATAATATTATTTATAATGTACGTTTTATAGGTAGTTTAAAATAATAAACGCCTAATGAGGTAAGTGTAAAAATAAAATTTAAATGTGAATTGTTTGTATTGTTTAGTTATTTATATATATATATATATATATATATATATATATATAATATATATATATATAAAAAAATATTATAATCCTCCGACTTAGCGGGGACGACACAACACTAGTGCGACGCGATAACCGCGCGCGCCCCCGCACTAGCTCAGCAACTACAAAATACGAACGTCGGCGGGCATTTTGTCGGCTAAGCCTAATTTTGGCTAATGAATTAATATTTTTGAATTTAACATTGTTTTTCCGTCTTAATAGTATATATATAGAGTACTTAGTTTATTTTTAATTCTTATTAAAAAATACTATTTCTGCTTATAAAATATATTTTCGTAAGAGGCAAAATTAAAATTAATATTTTCAAACATTCAGTAGGTTATACCCAAAATTTAAAAAATATATTTTATAAAGCTCCATTTTCTAAAACATGCCAAGGATTTTTTTACGAAAATTTAAGCCATTATTTCTCCTAAAAGCTTAACTCTCCAGACCAACCCATACAATATTTATGGAGGCGGGCCGGAACTCTGATAGTTTTACACTATAAAACCAGCTTTTACTTAAATATTTTCGCGAAGAAAATTCACGATATAGCAGTTGAAACTCTATCTTATCTGTGGAAGTAAAAAAGCAATATACAGCGCAATGTTTTATAGCCTGCCTCGATACTTGCTCTAACCAACCAAAACCAAAGAAATTTTTAATTCTAACCAGTAGTTTCTGAGATTAGTGCGTTCAAACAAACAATCAAATAAATAAAACGCTGTTACTATTTTCTTATACTAAAACGATTTTCTGAAAATTCCAAACGAAAACACTATTTAACAAAGTTTTCAGATACCCGTGTATTATTCACCAATCAATATTCAATCAATCATTGTAATCTAGGCCGGTGACATGTGTTTTTGTCACGAATGTTTAGTTTTTACCTTTAGGCCTTATAAATTTACTCATTAAAAACAGTTCTAACGGTTTAATCTGTGAAATATAATAAAATAATGTCACATTTAAATAAAACACTTTAACGGTTTAAAACGCGATATGTATTAGGTATTTTGAAAATTAATTTACCTACGGCCTGACGTTTCGGATGCTTTGCACCAGCCGACACGAGGAGACCAAACGTCAAAGTAAAAATTGCTACGCGTCGGGCCGTAGTTAAGAGAATTATCAAATAAGTTTAACTTATATGTATATATCGTGTTTTAAACCGTTACCTTTTTTATTTAAACTAAATATAATAGTTAATAAATTTTTACTACGACACGATGTTGCGGTAGTTGAGCAGTCGTGATGAAAAACCAGTCGCTTGATGAATATTGTTTATGTCCGTTTAAATAGAATTATTTTATATGCACTACTCGCTAAATGATAGACTACTTAATGAAAAAATCGATAATAGTTTCACTGATGTTTCGAATCGAAATCCGGTCGTTAAACTAATTACTTTGATATAAATTATAATTGTACTGAGAAAATTAAATACGTTAAACAGTCGGATCTAATTATTATCATTGATTTAGGCTTAGTTCACACGAAACGTATCGTTTGCCGCAGACGTATGACTAGTATGATTAGTCTCACTATCTTAGCGACAGACTGAGTCAGAGGTAGAAAAAAATAAGTATATAGAAACGCAATCAACTACGTAACGCGCGCTTACATTCAAAGGCCGACGATATATTTGGTATAAATGATGCCTAATGGCATGAGCCAACCCGCAGTGGTGTGTATAAGCTCCTAAGCTCCTAAGCCTTCATGTACAGGTGACCTGTGCCAGCAATGGGCTACTAACGCTTATTTATTCGCTATTTAAGAGGAGTAGGTAAGATAAGACCGCCTCTGTTGCTGAATGGTTAAAAGTGTTGCTTAGTGCGGAGGCCCAGAATTCGAATCCCGGGGAAACAATAGATTGTTTCGGGCAGGCCACAAAAGACTGATCAACTTTGAAAACTTTTTTTTTCATACATTGCGCATGATTTTCATGATTGCGCGAGAGCAGCAGCACAGAATGCTCTGGTTGCCAGTTCAACTCCTGCGCGTGTTCTATTTTTCTCAATCAGAGTCGATTTTAATTACTCGCCTCTAAACAAACAAAGATTGAAATGGACACATAAATGTGTCCGGCCCAAGCACCATGGGGGAAACGGAATTTTAAGATAAAGAAATAAGCGTTTATGAGTTTCGCTGTTCGCTTACCAAAACCATCCGTGAAAAATGACAATATCTCCGTCCATTTCCTAGTTTCGTATCACATGAAAAAACGTTCATTTTCCCGGGACGCTGACCTACATCGACAATTCTGTTTCACGTACATCACAATTGCTTTCATCCTTTTTTCGCATTTTCGAATACAACTTTCGCTTCGTTCATTGTAACCTCAGAACTTAGTCATATTTTTTGCATTATTTTATAAAGATCGCTATGAACTTAGCACGTCTGATATATATAAAGAAAATAAGTAAATATGAGGCCGCTAGAGTCATAGTGGCCTAACTGCTATTTTATGACTTGACTTATTTATTTTTTTATAGTCTAAAAACAAATCTACAAGAGCAGTGACCGGAAAATGTAAACATTTAACATGTGTAATTACACAAATAATAGTACAAATTCACTGTCGCCTAAGTTAATTGCGCTTTTATATTTTCCTCTTTATTGAAAATCATGTTTTTGTTATTAGGCCACTCTATCTCTAGCAGCCTCATATATTAAACGCTTAATAACGAACCCTAAGAATAGTCAAGTTGACGAATTTGTTTATTTTTATGTAACTTTCCCATGAGTATAATTTTAACACAGTACGCTTAAAAGTACCTAAGCGGCGAATTACAAATAAATTGTGATTTAACTTAAAACGTTACAAACGAAAAACCGTGCTATGACGTCACAACTTGAATTTACGCGTAACTAAGTTGCGCTACAGCTATAATAAATGCGCTTAGTTTAAAACAAAACTTTCATGAAATTTCATGTCCTAACTGCATCTTATGTAATACTCCGACCGAATACGTTTAAAATATCCATATTAATTGCTAATATGGTTTATTTTAAACGTTCAGTGATCCTCGACTAACAGCTATGCACAGTAATTGAACTAAAAGACTGATAAAATATTAAAGATCTAAAGCTATTTGAATAAAACTCTTTATTTAAATAAAATACTAACGTTTAAAACGCGATATATTAGTTAAACTTATTTGGAAATGATTTTTAACTTCGGCACGACGTTTCGGATGCTTTGCAGCAGCCGTGGTCACGGGGAGACAAGTTAAAAATCATTTCCAAATAAGTTTAACTAATATATCGCTTTTTGAACCGTTAAAGTGTTTTATTTAAATGTGTACTACTCGCGTAAACTATAGACAGTATTTAAAACTCTTTATATTTATTTGCTTTTTATCTAATAGTATATTGTGAACGTTAGGGTTTCCTCCGATTTTTGTTTACGCTCTGCCCAGTTGTCCCTCAGAAAACAAATGTACATTTTCCCAGCACATGAAGTATAAATAACATCTGTATTTATTCACAATAAATGTCAATAAATTAGCTTAGTTTTGAGTAAAATATAGAAAAAATTTGTAGCGAGTATGATGTATTTTATTATAGTACTAGCGACCCGCCCTGGCTTTGCTTGGCTTTCGCTGATACAGAAAAAGTGTAAGTGTTGTATATAAAAACCTTACTCTTGAATCACTATTAAAAAACGGCATCAAAATCTGTTGCGTAGTTTTAAAGGTTTAAGCGTACATAGGGAGAGAAAAATCGATTTTGTTTCACTATGTAGTGATTCACTAGATACATCGTAATATGTATTATGTAGTATATATAGTCTACTAAATTAGAACAAATGGTAACGTATAAAGCGACCTAGTCTCCAGGTCACAGCAGAATATCACAGCTTTGACAAGTTAATAGCTACATTACGCCGAGCTTTAAACTATGCATTACTACTTTCTAGACTGCCATAGTATGTTCACGTTAAAAAATACACATATATATATATATATATTTATATATATGTTTACTAGCTGACCCGGCAAACGTTGTTTTGCCATTTAAAAATAAGGGTTGATCGTAGCGGGGTGAAAATTTAGGGTTGTATGTTTTTTTTAATGCTACATTAAAAAAAATAATATATATATCTATATATATTTCCAAAGCGTATGTATTTGAATACTTTAATATTTTTCACACGTTAGCATTATATAAATTAAAAATGCATTTTAGATTCTAACGGGATCGTTCTAATGGTAGTAATGTATGGCTAATAATGAACCCGTCGTGGGTGCGAACCCCACCGGGCCTTACATGTTTCTAATCTTTTAATCTGTGGATTTCCGAATATCCAAAGCCAAAATAGGTCGATAGCGCATCTTGTTTAGATGCTATAGGCTGGTGTATATCACCTACCATCTAATGAACCCCGTGTCATCATCATGTATCATTAAAAAGGATTAAAAACATCACGCTACGGTGTGGATGTTGGTTCACGTCCTGTCCAAATTTTTAGTTTTTTTATATAAAGCTTAGTTAATACTTATCTATGTAAAAATAACATCTTTAATTAAAAATAATTTATTTTTTGGATTTAAAACATAGGCTGTGCCAATGATAGTTATTTAAAGTGTTATAGAGGTCATCATAAAAATGACAATTAGAATCTTGAATGGCTAAATCAAGTTAAAAAAATGTATTATAAATAATGATTAAAACTTGTCTAAACCAAGACCCATCTTGGTAAAAACTCGCTCCAATTGACACATCTAAGAGCTTTAGGTTTCATTCATTTAATTTTATCCTGATTTTCTATCTGTCGCCCTCTTAGCGGACCAATTACTCTCCTGTCAAGATTCCATTTAACTTAACTAGATCTTAACCATTATAGAATCGAAGTAACTATCGGAATTTTATGACTACTAATTGGATGTCTTTTTACTTCTATAGAAATAAAGAAATTGTAACAAATAGGTCTCAAATATACATACATATAGATTTACATTTTTTTTCTTTTAGGAGAAGGAAAAACCTCACTCGACTACTTTTAAGATAAATTTTAAGTTTGAAACAGTTTACAATACTTTCGATTTATTTATTTTTAAAGAATAGTTTTAGGAGCTATTTCTACAATTTTAAGTTACTTTTGTTAAAAAAGTTTCTGTTGTAAACTGGAGATGGTATTTATAATCTATAGGCTGACGCCGAAACGTAATTTATAATTATTCGAAACATTTTTGACTTCGTCAGGAATATGGAATTAAATTGGTTGTAGGAATATTACAATACTGTCCGGGCAACGACCCACCGTCCACAGATGAAAAATGCGTGAAGGTTAATCGCGTTTCGTTTTTAGTCTGTGGATTTCTGAATATTCAGAGCTAAATTCCATTACATGCTGGTCCTCTGTCATAAAATGAAATATGAAAATTGACTAAGACCGGATGAACTTACAATTCTTTATTAACAAACCAACGTGTCTGTTCCCTATTCTCTTCTTTAATGTCATGTCTATTCTAGTAAGGATGTTCGTCTTCCGGTTCAACTCCAACGCGCTATGGCTGCTGAAGCGGAGGCTGCTCGTGAGGCTCGTGCTAAAGTAATTGCAGCTGAAGGAGAGCAGAAAGCTTCTCGAGCTTTACGCGAAGCTTCCGAGGTTATAGGCGACAGCCCTGCTGCATTACAGCTGCGCTACCTTCAGGTATTATAAATCTGAACTGAAATATTCTGACGGGCTCGTTGGTTCTGTTCGGTCCCCCAGATCGAACATATTTATATTTTTTCTGAAACATATTGGACTTCGTCTTGAAATCTGGATTCAAATAGGTGGTAGGACATTGAACATGTTGTCACGGTCACGGACCATCGTCCACAGATGAAAAAGTAATAACGTCAGTCGTGATTTAGATTCAGTCTGCGGATTTCGGAATATCCAAAGCCAAAATAGGTGGACAACTTGTCAACATATATTGATATATATATTAGATGCCGCTAATCTAAAAATGGTAATCTACTAGAGCACAGTGACCGAAAAATGTTCGCATAATTCTTACTCAAATAATTAATATACCTAGTACAAATTAATTTTTGTTTAAGTAAATTATGCATTTTTGTTTTTAGGCCGCTATGCATCTAGCTGCCTCATATGCCTAGGGTATTTTACCTTTCATAAAGTGCTCGTCTATCTCCCTATGACACTAAGATATATCATCAATAATATAAAGCTAGCCTGTTCAAGTTTTTAATTGACAAAAATAATTCTTCGAATTATAAAAGGGATTCCAACCTGATATTGAATCAAACATATCTATTCACTTATCTATAATTGAATTTTTCCTTCACAGACCCTGAACACGATATCTGCTGAGAAGAACTCTACAATTGTGTTCCCGCTGCCGATCGATCTTCTGACTTACTTCATTAAAGCCAAAGAAGAAACGACCGAGTAATCTCACTTAATGAACGGAAAGGAAAACCTTACCTTATTGATGTTTAGATGTACTTCAGCATTTTATATTAGATAGAATATTTCAATTTGAAAGTCCTGCTCTATAAGCGATAAATTTATTTTTCATGTTACTCTGTGTACAACAAAAATATAACGCCTACGTGCGGAGTTCTTTTAATCTTATTCTTGAACAAAAAATAGTAATAACATTCGTCCTAGTCTTATTATATCAAATGGTCTTACAATAACTAAACTGTAAGCATTAGGATTTTTTTTACTTTAATTCAATAGAATTCACAGAAATTTTTCCTTTACATTTCTGCGCTTTAGAAATATGAGTATTGACAGTGTAAAATATGTATGACACTTCTATATTATAATTAGATCATTATATTCATTCTTACATATCAAATATGCTACAACTATTGTAACTGTTTAATATTCTTGGTGTAATAAAGTTGAGAAAGCAATGTGTTTTTTTTAACCAAAATTAATGTATGACAAAAAATATGGATTAAGAACGAAACTAATTCGTGCAGCTGGTTCTCATTCAGTTACATCCTGCCATGGTCCTGATAAACATAAGTATGGTATAAACTAGAAGTAATATTCACTGACAAGAAATTTCGGGGCTAAACTTTTGTGCTATGTGGATTGAATCATTTGGTACATGATTAAATGCCGCATTATATGCCGCAAGACTCACCACACTTTTTATCATAGAATGTTGATTGGTAGGCTCTGGTTATAATTTAAAAAGTTATTAAAATCACCCAAGTAGTTTAGAGGCAGAAATTCTTCTATGAATGAATAAACCGCACCTGATTATAGCTATAGACACTTGAATGAATGGAAATTTTTAATTCAATTTTTAAACTACTGGTGTCAATTTCTATGCTATCTGCTAATTTCAAAAATAGTCTTTCAACTCATAAAACATAAACGCTATTTACTTTGTAGGGAAAATAAAATAAATTCTCAAATACATCGTATTTGAGAATTTATTTTAAAGCATTCTATTATTTTTAAACATTTATTTAAAAAACATATTTCTGCAAGTTGTGTGATACAATATGTAACTAGTCTTGCGTAGATCATCTATCAGACACTAATACAACACTGTCGCAAATTTAAGCATTGAATAAAACAATAATTATTTAAAAGTAGAACTAGCACATTAACAATAATTTAACAGTAAATTTACAACAATAGCTAAGCATGTAGCTGCATCTTTACAAGTGAAGGCTTTTCTCTCCCTTTCTGATTCAAAACCCCTAACTGGGTATTAAGAAATTTAAGTCTTTAGTGTTATCTTTGCTTGGTTTTATAAAACATTCGCGTGGCATCTAATATTTCCTGAATGTTACAAAGGCTTCTCGTATTTGGAAAATCCACGTCGTACGGCGTCGATACCTCTGCCATTTCCGCTGTGACCGTATCAATTATCTCATCACTCTTCAAACGCATTCCTATATTTAATTTTAAAGCCGCATGACCACATCTAAATATAACATAAACATTCGCTTGATCAATAATCCTCAACGAAAAGTAATCGTTAATTTTCACAGCTTTGAACTTTATCTTGAACGGAGTTAGTTTTTGCATCAACTTCGTTGTTCTATATTTTACGAAATTATCAAACTCAACTGCTAACATTTTTTCATCGATTGTTTTAACAGGGTCTTCTTTTACATCATCGTCGTGTTTGATAAAGTTCTTCATAACTACATCGCTTTTAACATAATTGTCGACGTAGACATTTTGTAAAACCGGAGGGTCGTTCAGTGTGTGCCATTTCCATTTACTAGGAGTTCCAATATTTTTATCGATGATTATTCCTTCGGACTGATTGTATTTTAATCTGTAATCATTCATTAATGCTAATTGATCAACATAGATTAGTAAATTACCATCGTAAGAGCTTAAGCCAAATCTCCATGAGTCAACAAGACTGTGGACGCTACGCGCCTCCCCTCTCCCTATGTTAGTATTCATTCCACTTAAGTTAGGAGGCATTCTTCACAAATTTAAAACGAAGCGAGCGTTAAAATTAGTAAGTTCTACGTAACTGTATAATTAATCCTACCTTACTTTACCAGCGTGATCATATACGATACCGTTTCCCAAATAATCAAAACAAGACAATATTGTTATTGGCTTTCTAATTACATAACTATCACCAGAATCTTTGCATTCATAGATTATATATCGTTGCTTATTATTTACATCTGTAAAAAAAATGGAGTCATATACTTAATAACGATATAGAAATTATATACACAATAGCTACAACGGGATGTATTTTTGAGATTTAGAAGTAGATTTATGACCAAGTCGCAAAAATGAGATATCCCGTTTCCCCTGTGTCGGCGATCGATTTTATTTACAGCGTACAGTACGTACTGACTTTTGTGCCCTACTCATTTAAAACTCGCGATCAAAGAATAAAGTGAGTTCTTATTATTGTCCTAATTTTTTATGATAGAGGTGGGGTACGAGCATGGGTTAGCTTGATGGTAGATGAAATATCGTATAGGGATATATAACATCTACACAAGTTTCGCTGTCCTATTTAGGCTTTAGATATTCAAAAATTCACAGACTGAAACGGAAACACGATTAATCGTGGGGTCTTTATTATCTGTGGACGGTGGTGTGTGACCCGGACGAAATTTCGATATTCCTACCACCCGTTTAATATCTAACCAACAACCTGTTGATTTTTAACCATATATTGCTACCATTACAGCAACGAGCCCTTCCAAACCACAACATGAGTTACAAAATCTTAACACAATGTATATAAAAATACCCTGGCTATTATAAAAGTCCAAAGCAACATCGCCGTTCTTATAGAACCACTTTCCACCACATCCGTCCTCATTTATCTCGGCTAACATTTCCCCAGTGTCATAATATATTACGCGCTCATGGCTGTGGGTTTTAAACCAATCGAATTGCGGATTAGCCGGCTCCACTTTATATACGTTCATCTGTGGGGTAAAATGTCTGCTTTAAGCTCTCATTTTTCAGTCAAATCTAATTCAATAAATTGTGTAAGGCTTTCACGGCCATCGTTCAGCATGTCATTGTTTTTCGGGCTGTTCGGCTGACGTGAGCGAGAAGAGGTTCTCGACATTCCGCCATCACGAGCGGACGGCATCATCGAGAGATGTTAGCTCCTCGATTGATCAGAGAATGAATACTATCTAATTCAATCAAAATTAAATTTAGAACCAGGGAAATACTTTGTTTTACTGCTTCCAAGCACTGAGAGAAATTGTGTTATATTTTTTGTAGTAATTACCAAAACAACTTACTTTTCTCATTACTCTTGTTGTCGGTAATTTAGTCCAGCCTTTGTCGATGAACTCCTTGTTTGAAAGCGCGTACTTTATTATTCCTTTACTGTGTTGCTAAAGTATAGTTTATTATTATAGTTAATTAAACGAAAACTATAATCTACAACATTATAATTAAAACGAACCGAATTTTACCAACACTTCTACGTAAAGTCTATTCTGAATCTATACTAAGGCTAAAATGCGCTTATCTCGGTTGTGTTAGCATTTATTGAGGAAGGCTATAAGCTATAAAACATCGAACTGCGACTAGTAGGAAAGACGTGACACAGACACAGGAAATGTAAAAAAAACAAGGAGAATTATTAATCTTTGTGGGGTTTCGTTGCCTACTAAAATTCGTTACTACTCTGCGAAAACGGTTCAAGATAACAAAAAAATATACACGGAAGTATCTCTCTTATTTATTTCTCTTTAAATGATCTAAAAAATGTCTCCAACACTATACGTCTATCATTTAAGATTAACTTGCAAAATCATCGGGACGCGACCGCGGTCGTGGGTACGACGTGGTAATGATGACCGCAGGCGGAGTCGCTGACGCAGCTAGTATAAAAATATACGTATAGTCGGATAACAGTAATAGTAGTACTTTGACTATTGTCTATAGTTTACGGGAGTAGTACACATTTAAATAAAACACTTTTAACAGTTCAAGATGCGCATTGAACTATGAACGTATGTACTATTTATTTTAACTACGGCCCTACGTTTCGGTTGGTGTACAGTAGCCGTGACCACGACTTCCGCGATTTAAACCCTTCAAAATGTTTTATTTAGATAAGAAACAATGCACTCCCTTTGTTTCTTCTTCCTGTCTGCTTCGCTTTTGCTTTACAGGTATGTTGATCAGGCTTCTGTGTAGTCCAAACGAAATATATACTAGATTTTAATCCCAGGGATTCAAATCTAGTATCTCTCATAGCTAGGCAATCAGGTGTCTAAACTATGTATTAAACTAAAATGAACTATCATACAGCTTTAAAACCCTTTACAAACCTCCAGCCAAATACTTTTATGAAGATTGGCAACATACCAACCCTCTTATCTACTGGAAAGCGTACCCCCACGAACTATAAATCTGTATATAAAATTCACGTGTCGCGATGTTACCAAACCTTCTATATGGCTGAATAGATTTTTATAAATTTTTACATATTGGGTGGGTTGAAAATCGGTTATTATACAAATTACAATTTGCTTTTTAAATATTAGTAAACATATAAATAAATTACCTTATGTTCATGCACTTCCGTTTTTGACGAGTCTAAGCATTTTGTAGACGGGCTGAGAGACGCATTGGTATCAAACTGTCTCCTAAACAGCAAGGGTTCCAGTTTAACGGGAGTCTTTGACTTTGTATGACGATCCAAGGGAACAGTATGGACACCTCTTATCATAACCTGCGGTAGAGTATTAGGCGGTGTGCATACTAAAGTACTTCCAGACTCGCTCATGACCGTCGCTGTACTTCTAACTGGTAACTCGGGAAGATCATCAAACTTCGGCATATTTTTCAAAATCTGAACAGCTGACTTCGTTCTCCCCTTCCCTTGATTTTCTCTTTTATGTTCCTTTATCAACCTCAACATTAGTTCTTCGCCGGGATCTAGTTTAATTTTAGTTTCAGGGACGTTTTTCGTTGGCCGTTTTCCTGACTTATTTTCCGTCTGGTCTTCACTATATGATAATTGTTACACAATATATTTTGACAGGATCGTTAAACTAATGATAGAATGTATTGCTATTAATATACCACCGGGTCCAACAAAAGCATAAAGATCCTATCAAAGAGATAGTGAACCTGACGTAACAGCACTAATACCCGCCTAAGGATACGGAAATTAACTTCCCTCACGGCATTATTGACCTAATCATGAATCCCAAAATAGTTTTGTTTAAGTTATCTTGTGTGTAAGGATAATGATCCGATCATTTTCATCTTACACACAAGATAGATATAGATTGGAAACTTTTCTGAATAGGCAGTGAATACTTCTTCTAGACTATCACAAACCCGAAATAGGTAAAAATAACAATGGTGTTTCTCTTCCAAAATATTTTTTTAAAACAAAGGTAGGATTACAACCTTGCCTGAAAGTTTAAATTAGGGATGATGAAGGAGTTACTCACGTGAGTAGTCCTTTGTTTGACTCGTCATTTTTCACCTTACTTTTACGCGATTCTATTTTTCTCCTATCGCCTGATCTCTTTTCTCTTCCAGCACTTTCTTTTATTCTCCCACCTGCTGTTTTAAAGAGTTCACTGGATTTCTTTCCTTCTGCCACTATTCCTGGTAATCTTTTAGTTAATTCTGGTGTATGGTGTTGAGAGCTTCTTATTTCTTTCTCTGAGTGGCTCTCTTGTATAGCAGGCATTTCTAAAGACATTTTTGGCTGCATCTGTTGCGGGTCAGTCTTTTTCCTATCGTCAAAGTATCGGCACATACACGTACTTGCTTCGGAGAAAGAGGAACCTTTACTTAGACATGGAACATTATCAAGACACAGATCATCTATAACTCCTAGCAAAACCTTCTTGGTATCTTCATCTATAGGAACCGAGGATTCGACTTCTTTATTGGGAAACGTATCAAAACAGGGCCGTATAGTTGGTGATGGTGATTTTAATAAATCAATAAGATTTTTCAGTTCAATATCCGAATTTTGAACAAAACATACTCGATGAGGGCACGTTTTTTTGACATCAAGAATCGTTAAGAGGGTGTCTTTTACCGAACACCACCAGGATCTATATTCGTCCTTAAGATTTGCTTGCTTTTCTGTACTACATGATATGAATCTTTCTAATAAGAATTCACACCTCTTGCACTTGTTTTTAAAATTACTTCGCTTACAATGATCACATACAGCTAAAACTTCATTTTTTCTTATAATATTGACGTCGTCGAGAAGACTACGAATTCGCTGTATTGTCTTTTGGCATTGATAGCATTTAGTTTTATATTGACCTACGAAAAAAGTCCAAGGCATAGTTTATACGTAGTATAAATTATGTATACAATACCCCGATATTAAGGAAACGGACATAGCATGGTTATACTTACAAAGTTCTATAACATAATCAAATTTTTTCAGCTCCCTCTTTCCAATATTGTGTAAAATTATACTAGGTAGAGATTTTAATTTAGTATTTCTTACCTACAACGAATGAAGTAGGTACATTATAATGGACGAATAAATTATTATAGATAATAAACCAAGTATACTTTGTTAAATTGACCTTTTTTGAGGTTCTACTTACTAAACTTTCGTTGTTTTGAGCGTATATAACAAGCCCCGAATTTTTCAGGTTAACAATTTGTTTAAATTCACTATTACATGTCGCTCTGCATTTTGAACAGCATCTCAAAACATTTCTACAAAATTCTGGTTTATACGTGTGAGCAAATTAATAATTTCTACTAAAGTTAGAGATTTGTAGTATGACATTGGAATAAAAAAAAACAGAAAAACAACATAATAACAATAATAATAATCCAAATTGATCTTAGGATAATAGTTGAGGACAGAACGACTATCTTGATTTCAGTAAGCGATACCTTGAACTCATCATAAATATTGCTAAAATATTTAGCAAAGAGGATCTCCGTAACTTCAATCACAACCCTGATGAACTGAACTTTTTTTTCGGACTTGACAATGTAATTCAAAGTAGGCATAGATAATCAAATAACTAATAAAACACATTATTTTTACATATGGATTGCAGATGAACACAGGTATTAGCATAAAAAAAGGAAAAATTTTCATTATGCACTTTTCTGATTTTATATTTAAATAAGACTTTTAATTTTTACCGCCAAAAAAGGTCTAACGAATACTGCAAACTATAAAACAAACCATTAAAATATGTTTCACAATAAATCATTGAAATGTGGAACATTTTCAATAATTTATTTTATAGTCTGTGGGAGAAGTATTGTCAATTTGACAAAGTTGTCAATGTCATTGTTGTATAACAATCTCTTTGTCAATTGTCATTTCACCTTGTAAGATGTCAAAGAGTATTTTGAATTTATGATTCACATTAGTTTCGTGAGACGAGGTTTTGTATTTAAATCATCGTAGTGGCTTTTTTATTTAACTATTTATATTTGTTAAAAATATACAATGTCCCTCTACAGAACACTTACAGTTTCAAGAATACTGCTTTCTTGCAATCGTTCAAGCAGTATTATGTTACAAAAAAGCCAAGAATTCAACAAAAACAGGTGCGTTATACTCGTGTGGTAAACAGTAGTTATTTTTAGGAAGCTTTTTGTTCCAATTATCATGTTTACGACAATAGATACTAATCATTCTAGTGTAAACAACTATTCAATATTATTAACTTTATATCGTTTTAACATGACTTATTTATTTTCAGATTTCTTATTACAGAACGCAATAAACATACAAAGACTATAAAAAAAGAAAAGGAAAAATTTAGAACATTTGTGATTAATCGTTATATTGAATATGTGAAAAATTACACACGTGTTCTAGAAACTAGATTTCCTTCGGCAATGAAAATGTACAGAGTATTCAGTATTGGTATAAAGGATTTTCTTAGAGATCTGAAAACATATATTACATTGAGGATCAAGATTGCTAGAGATCAAGGATTTTCTAATATGAGTCGCCAGGATATTGAGCTTTATGAGAAGATGCCGACAGACATGTGGCGAATTGCACCAGTATTAATTTTGTCCGCAATACCATTTGGAAATTATATAATATTTCCTCTAGCGTAAGAATATTTTGCATTCATTATTATTATTAATATTGGAATGCTTATGATGCAATGTAGTCTTTGTGAAAGCCTTCTAAAGACAGAAAACAATCTTCAAGAAAACACTAATTAAGTACAAGGCTACATATCAATAAGAATTCCGCAATCAACAAAGTAATCATTAAAAATTACTTTTAAATATATAAAATATAATTTTCAGGTTTCTTAAGCCCAGAAAGTTATTGTGTTCTCATTTTTGGTCCATTCAACAAAGAGTTGAGTTTTCTATGCAAGATTTAACAGAGCGTCTAAGATACAACAGGGCAGTATTCAGAGCTCTTCAGGAAAGACTAGATACAATACCAGAAAGCAGCATTAAAGAAAAATGGGAGAGAATAATTGCTCTCCTAGGCTCTGGTGTTCATCCAACCGCAAATGATATAATAGAATGTAAAGAATTGTTTTCAAAAGAACCATACAACATGAAAAACCTTACTTATGCGCACATGGTAAGATATTTTCTCATGGACAAAAAATTTATTATTTGCATATTATTTTTACAATAACTGTTGTATGAAATTGTATCTTCTATTGTAAAATTTGAACAAACATGTAGGTTACTGGTTCTAGGCAAGTGCTTAAACATAACTTGAGTCCATTGTTCACTGATATATGTTTCCACAGAATCCTAAACATGCCACTGCTTTTAACCAACTTCAATATTTGTTCTAACTCTTATTTATATTGGTGTTACTGAGTCCCCCTTATTTTTACTTTTACTTCTATGTATATATTATAACTATTAACTTCCAGGGAAGCTTGCTAAGAATGCACGGATTAAAGAAAAGTATATTCAGAAGGAAAAAATTGAAGTACAGAGCTTTTCTCTTACTTCAAATGGATAAAGCTATCATTAGGGAAGGTGGTGTCGAGATGCTTGGTTCAGAATCGTTAAGGAATGCATGCCAAATACGCGGTTTAAATGGTAGCCATTTATCAAATCAAAATATGAAAGATTGGCTTCAACAGTGGTTACAAGTGTCTCAGAATGTTGATTCAAGTACATATTCCTTGTTATTACATTGTCCAATACTCTTTGCTTATAACCATCCACAAAATTGGGTATTGATATACTAGTCAAACTTTGACTATTAGCAAACTTGAATACTGAATTTGTGAGGCTCCCCTCTCTTCTTTGTTACCGTTTCATCGTATACTAGCTGACCTGGCAAATATTCTTATCATAAGAAGAACTTTTAGAGATAAATTAAAATTATTTCAAATTGTTTCTTCTATTGGTTGAAGTATATTGTTTTACAAAGCCTTCCTTGATGAATGGTCCAACTAACCAAAAATATGTTATTCAATTCATATCAGTATTCCTGGGATCAGCGAGTTCTAACCAACAAACTCATCAGCTTTATAATATTAGTATAGAAATTGAAATTTGACCTGTACTAACTGTTTTATTTAAATTTTGACACACTATGTATAAAAACTGACTTTTCTCCTACGTGTTGTGTTATTTTATGCATGACCCAAGATGTAATTTAAAGAGCTTTTGTATGTGTGCTTTATATGCTACATTTCAAATTCTACAAATATTTAAAATAATCGTACAAAGGTGATGTACCAATATTTATTATGTTAACATATATGTTTGCAAATGATTTATTCTTATCTATATCACTTTGAAATTGTAGTTTAAATTTATTTTAGTTTACCCATACTATATTAATTTGTTCCTGTTCATTCATTGTTTTTTATTAGTACTGTATTATTATTTAGGTAGAGTTATGTATGTATACATACCAATTCAATTTACCAAAAATATGATTGTGATCTTTTATAACGTTGCTGCACAGTTTATATTATGACTAATATGTAAAACAATATGTTTAGTTTAAAAGAGTAAGCTTCAAAAGCTTGTTTAAATTATTATTGTTTTAATAGTTAGTTTCTTATATATTAGTTCGTTACTTATAGCATGTAATAGTAAGCTGCTAAGTATATGATGCACATGTTTTTTAAAGCTATTTTGTATAGTTTGTAATATTTTAAAAATAAATTATTGTTGTTAATAATTAATTTGTTATTATTTCACTGTACACCTTTATAACTTGAAATCTTTTGATGTGTCTTCGTACGATAATTATTAAATTTAATTTTCTTTAAGTATTTCTGCTCCAAATAGGTAGCGCTGTAGTAATTTTCAAATATGATTTATACTTTGTCAACCTCCATTACAAACACGAACTGTTTATAGTTCTCACTATAAGATGGCGCTGTCGTCTCGCAAAGGCATCTCAACCGTAAAGATTTTAGGTTTATATTAATTTAACCACATTAATGGTTAAATTATAATTATCGTTGGAGATTATGTTCTTATTGTATCTATTACTAAATATTCGTAGTCTATATATTCCGCGTGTATTGAAAAAATATTGTTATCTTATAGAACCTCCTTTTTTATATTTTTTGGTCTAGTGTTTTTTACTGCCAGAAATGACATATATAAAGAGAATAAAGCAAATTTTTTTATCTTCATATAAATTATTATTCGCAGACATGCTAAATACATTTAAAGCGATAGTTTATATGTTTCTAGTGGCTCATGTCGGCAGTAAAAAACCAATTGATAAGGACAAACTCGCTTCATGGCATGTCGAATGTGAATTGGGTATAATCACAGATAGCGACTGCCCCATTGATGGAGGGTGGTCTTCTTGGAGTTCATGGTCGGAATGTCAAGGCGCATGCGATAAGACCGGTCACCGGAAACGAACAAGAGAGTGCGTCAATCCGCCACCATCTAAAGACGGTTTGCCTTGTAGTGGATCAGATCAAGAATTGGAAACCTGCTACCTTAACAACTGTAACGTGGAAGATTTTCGAAAAATCGTAAAGGGTGACCCGGCTAGAATTGCGGGTTTAAATCAGCTGGAAGCCGTGCCGGCTGTGGCCGACCGTTGCTTGCAAATGGAATGCCCCTTTGAAGCAATTGAAGCTGGATTGACGAACGAAAATACTTGGCAATTAAGTGCTGAAGAATTGTGGAATGCTTTACAGTGTGTCAAAAGGAATTTGGGATGTCCTGTTGCCGGACAGTGGAGTATTTGGGATTCGTGGTCAAACTGTGGTGCTCGTTGCGGGAAAGGATTACGGTGGCGTCAGAGGAAATGTGATGCTCCTCCACCTTCCGATGCCCGGCTTATGTGCTCCGGTGCTCCGCTACAGTATGAAGAATGCGAAGGCGACCAGTGTGCTATTGACGATCCAAAGTTGGAGTATTCACCAACCGGAGCTTGGAGTCCATGGGGTCAATGGACGGATTGTTCAGAACACTGCGGTATCGGTATACGTCACCGAAAAAGACAATGTGTTGAAAAACATACCTCCCATTCGCTTTTTGCGTGGAGAACGAACTGCCGTGGTCAACACGATCAACTTGAAGTCTGTTCGAGCAAAAACTGCAATTTAGATGGTGGTTGGTCGGGTTGGGGTCCTTGGGGAGCATGCTCGAAGACATGCGGAGCCGGTAAGCGATCTAGATCTAGATCGTGTACAAGACCTATACCGTTCGGCGAAGGTGCTAACTGTTTCGGACCACGTACAGAAATCGGCACTTGCCACCGAAAACCCTGTGACGTGTACTCAAACACTGTAGCGCTATTCAACGGCGATTCAGTACTTGAATACAATTTCACCAAAAGACACTCAACATTCTTTCACTTCTACATTCGTTTTATGCCGTTGTCTCCAACTGGTACTTTAGTCCGTCGAGACAAATTGACATATCCATTCATACAACTACTATTGCATAAGTGGCATTTGTGCTTAGATGTAAGTGGATCGTCAAAGTGCGTATTACCAAGAATATGTTCACCTAACGTTTTAGCTCCTGCAGTCTGGCAATCGGCATTAGTGACTTTTACGAATAATGCAGCAATTCTAAGGATTAATGATGCTCAAATTCCTCTGAAATGTTCTGTAGCATGTGAGCCCCAGCTGACTAATGACTTTGTAGCCATACACGTCGGTGAAAGATTTCACGGTGCCGTGCAAGAAATAATACTAAATTTTATTCCATTAAGTATGTTCATAGAAAAGGAACGCCAAGTGAGAACAACAAACCTCTTTCCTGCGTTCGCGTCAAACATAATCTATGACAAAGCTAATCTGGAAGAAGCTTTTATTACACTAGAAAATTACTACTACCTACGACTACCTTGTTTTTATAAAGGCGAAGAAAGTTGGCAAATAAAATTGACTGTGAAGCCAAAAACGGACAACGGTCTCATTTTATTTATTTACGACGATTCAAGTAATTGGATCTTAATGTCATTACAAAACATGCGTCTAAAACTTAAACTTAAGTTAGGTGAACATAAGTCAGAAGTCATAAGCTCGTCTGAATATCAACCTGACCATTGGCTAGATCTAACCTTATCAAGAAAAAAGTCTGCAAATATTTTAGAAGCTACAATAAATAATGGAGAACACCTTCATCTAGATTTAACTGATAAAATAATGAAGACGGGAAATCAGATGTTTAAGCGTCAAAATTATATCGTGCAGAACACGACAGAGGTACTTGATGACATCTGTGATAGTAGTGAAGAGAAGTACGAAAACGTTTTGTATAAGCAAAAACGTTTTTCATTTATTCATTGCGACGAAGAGTTTTTTGTTGGCTTTATACCATTCTACTTAAAAAAGAACATATCCGAGGAAGCCATACCATTTTCAGGCACCATCGCCTCGATACACCTAAATGGCGCTCTATTCAACCTGCAAGATTGCAGCATGGAAAGAAATATAGAAGACACGATTCAATTATCCTCGCGGACAGCCAGCATTTCCGGTTCGTATCAGGAAACCGTTTGGGGTAAATCGAAAAAGATTAATTTAACCTGTTTCTATTCAAAGACACAGAGTCTATTCAAGAATAAGAGTTATTGGTTATTTTTAGATACCGGTATAAGGGGTATTTTCAAAAATACGAACGTAACATGGCATGATAATGGTAGAATACTCAGATTGGCTCTACCAGAAAATAAGGAACTGAGAGGTTTTTATTCGTGTCGATCTTTTTATAATAAGAGGACGAGAAATCTAATCACATATGGCGTAATAGGGAAAGTTGAGAATAAGTTTTCCGGGCCCGATCTTACTACTGCTGCCGCCGTCTTCACAACTCTATCTCTTGTTATATTTACATTAGGTTGGCTTATAATAGAGGGAATAAATGATCTTCGAGAGGGTCACGGCTTTTTTAGAGATATAAATTTGACGCCAGAAAAAGAGGCGGAAGCCGTTTGCAATTATATAGATAAAAACATTCATCTTTTGGGTTCAAAGAGCGCAGCTAAGTTGGCCAAAGCCAGAGCGAGGCGCAAAGCCAGACAACTGGCAAGCCGGGCCAGCTTCGCGGCTCAAGAGCCAGAAGGATTATTGCAAATTGACAACAACACAGAAGATCAAGCTCAAGCTATCGAAGAAGAAACACCAAAGGAGCCGTTGCCTGCATTACCAGCATCTCAATGTTTCGTGACTGAACCATTTCATCAGGTCTTTAGATGTGAGCCTTCCTATGTTAGTTCCCCTCGACACGGCTCTAATATAACTTCACCTGAGACAAAACTAACATCATCCTCATCTTTAGACACATCACCAAGAAACCTTTGCTCCAGATTATTACTAAATAGATTCAAGTATTCATCGAAGGAGAGCTTACGGTCCAAATTATTGCCCAGAAGTAAAAGGGAAAGACATTCTAATGCAACTCAACTACTAACTATAAAATCATCAACACTCGTCAATTTATCTCCGGCTCAAAGAATATTGCAGAAGTTCCACGAATTGAGGCCAGACGATACGTAACTTCTAGTGTCATAAGCTTGATATTATATAATACATTAGTTGTAGCGTTAATACTACGTACTATTAAAAAAAGACAAAACATACTCTTTTATTTACCATCTCCTTGTATGAGAATTCCTCGCTTGAAGAAATATAAAAAATTACTGATTTTTTCAGACTGAATATTCAGAAAAGGAACGCAGGGACAAGGATAAGGTAAAAGAAACACGAATGGCTATATTTAATTTATCGTCACATTGATATTACATTTCTACTGTTACAACATACACGAAATATATTGAATAATCATTAGCTTAGTGATTAGTACCAAAATAGGGATGGCTCTATTCTAGAAAAATATCTTTACACTCTCGATATAAATATATTCTCTCAGAATAGATTATAGGATATAATAAATCTTCAAAATAAATAAATGCGGTACGATAAAAAGGAACAATTGTTGTAACATCTTCAAACATTGTGCCTCTAATATGTTATGTCTATGTGTTAAATGACTAGTTCAAAGGGTTTTCTCTACAAACTATTTCAATAATCCATTTTGGAAAAGATCATCTAGATAATATGTCAAAATCTAAATATCTATTATATTTAATATATTTTAGATGCGTCAAAGTCATAGAGCTATATTAAACCTATTTAAAAATAGCAAAATCTGACGAGCCACGATATAAAAATATAAATAAAAATCTTTTGAAGTGCCTGGCACAACATAATTAATTATTAACATAATGTCTTTTAATTTGAGCAAAATATAATCGTTTACAGAAGTATCTTAATTACATTTATCACCTATTAAAATATATCGAGGACTACCTCTCTACCTCTGACTAATATAATGTATGACGTAAGCCAAGATCGTTTTAAAACACGCGAATCTCTTACATAAAATAACATTTATATAGAATTTTTAAAGGTAAAACAGGACATTGACATTTTCATTTTCATAGGAAGTCAGTTTAATTTTCGTTTCCGTTTCGTATCGTTTAATCGACGTGGTAGTGCCGACGGACGGACGGTTCTCGGCGGCGAGTTGATATGGCCGGTTCTTGTGACTGAAGCTGATAATAAATCGCGGTAATAAGAACAGCGCCACTCAAAAACACCGACACCCCATAGTTGAACATTAGATGTTTGTCGCCGGAATCCATGTATACGCTGAAGAAGCGACCTAAGGTGACAAGAACGCAAATGAGACGTGTTATACACAGTTAGTTGTACCCATCGCACGCCAATAAATAATATAGACAAATACAAATTACAAAAAGTTGCACATAGTTTTTACGATAAAATAAAATCCGGGTGCATAGATGGAAATATTATTGTGTCCGTTGGTCGTATACTGTAGCAATTATGTGACCATTCTGTGCTTAGAACTCTATCGCTAATGCAGCTCTTTTGGTTTTACAATCATCATACATATACGGTCAAAAACGAAAATAGTGACTCTCTAAGTAATCGCGACCGTTTAGAGTCGATTACACAATTTCCACATAACAATTGAGTCGGGGATGACGGCCACTCGTGGACAACTGACGAATGGAATGACGCTTTCAATCATTGACATCCTTCAGTTGATGTGGAATAACTCGCGGATATTTTTTTTAGAATCGAAATCAAGCAGCGGACTTAATCGCAAACACAGCGCAGAGATGAATTGGGCTGCCCAATTTTTAATTGAATTGCAGATCAAATTTGCATCAAGTCAATCATCGCAAACATGATTTAAAAATTATCGCAACGCCACGCAATCGCTAAATACAAAATACTCTCATATAACTCTTTTAACGGTTTCAAACGTGATATGTATAAGTTACGTTTCCTCTGACCAACCCTTGTAAGGACCTGTATCGAACCGGAACCTTAAAACGTGTTTTATTTTTGTGTAGCACTCACATAAAAAATACTCCTTGCTCTATTCAGACATAATATCTACATAGTCTTTTCAAATGTTCAAAGCAATAAATAGGTCAAGTGTGCATCCTAGTCGGGTTTTATTTGGCCGAGGCTTTTCACCTACAAACTAGTGAATATGGGCTTGCACATTCAATAAAAGAAAATCCCACATGAAACATGAAGTATATAAGAACAAATGGAAAAAGATAAATATATTTCTCTTAATAAAGACTTACCGCCATTAGTCAGAGAAGACATAGCCCATGTTTCGATAGAAATAGCATCAGAATTGGAGGCTTTAATCATTCCTCGGATATAGGAGACCTTGGCGATACCACTGAGTGGTAAACATATAGGCTGGAAGAATAATCATAATATGAATATTCTATCACAAGTAAGTAATAGATGTAAAATTGGTTTTGTTTTTTGTCTATGCACAGACACTTACAACAAGATAATTAAGAGTCTCCTTCGGAATTATTTCTGTCATGAATGCAGTCAAGGCAAAAGCATATATGGCCACATTCAGCGGTGTATACTTGTTCATCAAATAACCTTTGGCTCGGAGTACATAGAACAGCATTAAATACTCTTGCAGCAGTAAAGCTGGGTACTCAAGGTACGTGAACAGGGTGTAGTGGTTTTTATAATTGTAAAGAGTCATTATGGAATATCTGAAAAGACAATTCCTTTAAGTTGCTCTTGCAAAATTCATAAATTTCTTTTCTAATTGTTGGATTGAATTATTAATTATTTTATTTCTTAGAACTCACCCAATAATCTCCATTGTTATAGCTTGAAGGCTTATGCCCTTAAGTTCACTTGGGCGCTTGTTCCGCAAGTAAAATATTTGCGGTACTTTCAGAAACAAGCATGTTATAACAATGGACCAATTAAGGATATCCATAATGAAGGATTTTATATTTAGCTGCCACATTGTATCCCCTGTTTGCGGTGAGAAATAATCTTTTAATAATTCAATTTATACCCAAAATCAGTATCAATAACATTTTATTAAATATATGAAATAAGACTCTGCACTTACATAAATGTAAAAGGCAAATTTAGACAACAAAAACTACCTTTAATATTTTGTATCTTTTTTATATAATAATTTATTGTAACTATATCAATTTCAAGTATGAATTGAGACTAACAACTATCTGTGATACACTGGGTAACAAATGAACGGATTTCGGTCGTTCTTTCCACATTCAACACGAATTTATTTAAATGCATCTGTGAATGGCCGCGTTATTATTAAAGAACTAGTCATGATACTCACAAAGGGATTATGGTTAATGATGGTCGTAAATATTATGCTCGGTTTACAACGGACAACGTCCAGCAGTTTACCGTGTGCAATGCCGTCCCCGTGCGAACTGCCGTTTGCCGGGTGAATATCATGCAACGAAGCGCATCGTCTAGGATTCTTGAATCTCAGGCCTGCTTTATGTAAATCAATTAAACCGACGCGGGTTTACATCTAGGTCGTGAAATAGATTTCAAATTTTATTATTACCCTAGCTGTGCTATCCATTTTTTATTTAACTTGCACTAAACACTTCAAACTATTGTAGCCCGAGCAATGATCACATAATGAAATTCCTAACGCAAAGACAGCAAGATAAAAATAGCTATTTATAGGCTTCAAACATACTTGATAGCGTTTTTAAATTGTTACTATTTATAATTATTTTGTTTAATCTACATAGTATAGGATAATGCATACGATAAGGTGTATAGGTATGCTATTGTAAACTTGATTGGCATATTGCCCGATCCATGACACAACAATTTCAAACTAATATATTTTATTTATTGCTAAAAAAGAAAACAGTTGGTATACAATAGAATGTTTTTAATGTTTTGAGTTCCATAGATCAATAATTCTTAATATTATTTTATTACACCCAAAATTAGAATAATAATAGTGAAAACAATAGTTTACTTAACACGAAATTAAGACAAAAATTTTAATATATAGAGTGTGGCAATAGTGCCTATGTCATGTCATAATGACAGCTGTCTATAATCAAATGACGTTGACGTTTCATAAATATACCTATCATAGAATATAAATCATATTTAATGATATGAAAACTTATTTAAATTAAATAAATTTATCCCCTACTTGTCTAGCAGTTTGTTTCTTTAATACTATTTTTAATCATTTTTACATTATGCTACTGAAATAGCGAAATAATATATGATTTTTTTTAGTAATAAACGCTCAACGCGATTTCCTATAATACTGACCACTTTTAGAAATAAAATATTCCTTACAATATTAATTGTAATTTTTACTTCTGACTTTACAACTTTAAAAGCTTACATATCCAATTTTATGATATCGGCAAAAAAAAAATACATTTTGATCTTTCGATAAATTTGAAAATAGGAGAGTGTGTGTTAAAAAAGTAATATAAAACTTCGTCATAATTTTTAATTTAAAGTATATTTTATATTATCTTATTTTAATTGTGCTACATTGCAGAGGTATAATAAAGCTTTATTGTGTTAGTGCTTAAACGATATTGCAGGAGTTTATGAGAAATACCAGCGTACTTAATTCGCTTGGACTTCACTTAAAAACATATTTCGAAAACCACAACTAAATTACTGCGATAGAATTTGCGCTACGAGTTAAAAAAACGCTCTAAAATACGGCGCCTGTGGAAATTTTAAAGCAACGTCAGCTGTTCTTTATGCAATGTAAGCTTAAACTTCGTTTGCATTTAATAGAAAGTATTACAGATCATCAGATTCAACTCAAATACTCACGATAAAACGAGTCTGATTTACTGTTATTCTAATAATACATATTTAATGTAAAAGTAAAATAGTAATAATGTATTTACTCCAAAGACACAATGATTCAAAATAATAAGCGCTTTTGTACTCCATATTATTCGGGTTGCTAAGTTTAGACGATTAAGTGTTAGGGATCTACTTGTTTTCCTAAGAAGAATGTAAGAAGTTATGACCCAGAGAAAGTGCCACCTACTCTCTTGTCAATAAAATCGTTTTTAATGGAATCACAATCAGTAATAACAGCAATACTGAACAACAGTGAAAGATTTTTCGCATCACTCTCAAGGACTTATACGAAAAGTAAATTAATATCCCGTTTCCCCAGTGAGGCATGGGGCAAACACCCTTGTGTGTCCGTTTCACTGTTCGGTTTTTATTTTCAGACAAATTGTTTGATCAGATCTGTGCCCTGCCCGGCCGTAAGAATCTATTGATTCCCTGGGACCCAGAACCTCTTGCGCTTAACACAATGCTAACTAACACGTCGTTTAACCATTTTACTACAGAGGCGGTCCCTGTTTGATATGAATAAAGCTAATTATTACTATAAAGAACTACTATAAAATCCAGATGACCAGATACAGATAATGTAATATTCGTTTCGGCTGTCCAAAACATTATGAATATTTTAAATAAGTGGTTTTAAGTGGATCACTTAGTTCAATTTAGGAATTAGTCTTGATCAAGTAAGCAAACATGTTTTCTAAAGCTCGTAGCTTTCTTATGTTGTTCTGTTTCCTGTGGTCGTTAATTCAATTTATCTTGGCCACATTTATTTTAAGCCATATAGTTGTTAAAAGTAGAGGCAATTTTTAATTCGATGGAAAATGGGATAAGGCATGCGAGATGCATGTATTGTATTGTACGTAAAATTTTGTAATTTCATCATCTATGAATTAAAATATAAAGTATAAGACATTGAACCTTAGTTCGCAAGTGTTTAGGTTGAAATTACATTGCGCGAGATGTGCATGTATACTTAGGTTAAAAAATTCGACGATGACGTGAGGACTCGGTACCTCAATTGGTTAGACCAACAGCACAATATACTGTGGATGCCGGTTCAAGTCCTGCCCGAGTCGTTAGTTTTTTCAATTTATAATCGATTTTTATTTTTTTTTATTTAAATTTTTATAATACTTGTCAGTCTTAAAAAAGCTTAACAATAATGCACTTGAATTATTGGAAAACAAATATAAAACAACTTCAAAGAATTTAAAAGTTATGTATAGAGATCGAAGCGATATTATACCAGAGGTATGCGTAAGAGGGTTGGAAAGTTGACGTTACACGAAAGTTCAATAGCAGAAAATCTACGTCGAACGCCGTCTAACACTGATTTCAGTTCATCGTATGTCATAAATTTATCTACCGCTGCCTCTATAGCTCAATGGCTTACTTGTCTGTAAATAAAATCATTCATTGAAATAGACGTAGCTACCAGATGCCTCACATACGGAAAATACCTGGCTGTTAATCTATAAAGTGATAGAGTGTAACAAACAACATTGACGCTAATATATGCTAAAATTAAAACTGTGTCTAATCAGAAGTAATTATGCAGTACGTAGATGTCATTATCGCTTCGATAACGTCATTTGGCCGGCTGACTGTCGCCAATGTTGGTGTGAAGATCGTCTTGAACACTGCGCAAAACTACATGATGGGACAGTCGCGCAACTTCACACCCACCCCACAGCCTCACCCACCACGCCCTTACAATAAACCGCTATTCGAAAAACTTGGTTTTGTTTTGCTCAAGTATTTTGTCTACATCTTATTTCAATCTGGTATTCCGTACGTGATAACGGGTTAGATACAAGCTAAACAAGGAGCAGGAAAGTTTTATTCACGGTTTTACACAATTCAAATGGCGATTTGAATTTTGTAAAACATTTGAAGGTGTTAGGTTTTATTTGTAACGATTGCGTACAAGTTCCTAGAGCCGAGACGTCTAACTTGTGCCTTACTGGACTAAGTAGTGTTTTGAATGAATATACAACCTATTTACAAAATTTTTGGAAAAGGAATCTGGCTTTTTTATGGGCTAAACAATTTTTATGGAATATTATAATATGCGGTAAGTTTTGTATAACGTTTTAATGCTTCTTTAAGAATCCAATCATTATTGTAAATAGATACAATCTGTTTTTATAGGTAAGATCTGGCTATTCGTGTATAAGGTTTTATAATGCGATTTATTTATTGAATAGTTTTATAGTAACGAAAAGAATTTAAAGTTATAATGACTTCTCTGAAATATAGCCTATAGGAATTATTCACGTATAATGTTACAGGCAGGCTACGTATAATGTTGCAACTTACTAGGTTACGCGAGTAGTGTTGGTACATTTCAATAAAACGGTTTAAAACAATTTATTCCAACTACAGCAAAGTACCCGTAGCGTCGGGCCACAGTTTATATAAATTGTAAATATGTTTAAACCGTTAAAAGTATTTAAATATATGTTTGTAGGTATTACATCTTGTATTTAGTTAAGCGAGTGAGGATTCTTTAAAAAAACCACTTCTGATGGTTGGAAAAGAGAAGTATCGTTCGTGAATTCTCGTTTATAGTATTCTATTATTAATATTAAAGATGAGCGTTGTGTAAAATGCTGTAGACTATATGACGTGCCTGTACTCTATACAATTTTACATACAATTTTGGCAGTTCAAAATGCGAAATTTATTTAGCTGTAAAATGTTTTATTTATTAAATTGTCGCCTTCACTCGACGTATTACTGAATTTGAAACGTACAAAGGTTTATTTGGCAACGAAAATATACTTAAGCTCATAGTAACATCCATATCACACATAAACAGATTTAACACAAAATAATGTATAGTATAAAAGAAGACCGAATTCCATATGTTTTAAAATGCCTAAGTAATTATTTCTTAGTATTTATCAATGTTGATAACGGGTTTGTTGGTGTTGACAGTAGAGTAACAATGTATGGCTAGTAAGAGTTCGTTCCCAGTTGTCGGGTGTCGGATCCGTATATAAAACGGAGGTTATTGTGGCAGAACAATTACATATGAAGCTGTTTACAGTTATCGGAATGCGATTTTGTATCTGTTCTGACGAATGTTGGGTCTTAGGCCAGCCCTCTACGCCTGGAAAAAATCGTGTAGAGTTTCGCTCGCCTATGATAAAAAATGGCGGTGTTCACATTCGTTGGATGTCGAGACAGATAGCCCACGATAATTTTGTATTTTGGTAGTTTATGCTTACTGATATTTTTATTTAGTAGCTGTTCTCACTCTTTCGGAACTCTCAGAGGAAACAATTATAGAAGATCTTATTTTTGGTTGTAACTGCTTCAAACTCCAAATACTAATGAACACTGTTTCTCGTAGGTTCTTGAAGATATAGCTAACCACAACGCGCTAACGCGCAACCAACGCTCCGTCATATCAGGATCGGAGTAAGCTAGACATCATTGTGGACCATAAAATTATACAAGTAAGGTTTAATTTAGCAACAAGAAACATCATAGAAGCTCCATATTGCTCTTAGTAGTAAGTGCCTTTAAATATATGAATAATTTGTCTAAATGCGAAGGTGTGCTTGTTTTATTGCTTTTCCTAGACGCTATAACGGAGTTTCATTAGCTTCTTTCTCAGCGTAATAAGTAAGGGGTTGCCCCTGTGGGATGGGGAGTGTTTGCTTTAATGGTATCTTACCGCGCTATCCAAACGCCTGTTATCCATACGGTTATATATAGCCGAAGAGTTTGTTTGTTTAAATGCGCTAATCTCAGAAACTACGGTAGGAATTGAAAAGTGCTGGTTAAAGTATTTATCTAATAAGACTATATCTATATAAATATACATATAATGCTGAAGAGTTTGTTTGTTTTAACGCGCTCATCTCAGGAACTACTGGTTCGAATTGAAAAAATATTTTTGCTGTAGTAAGAACATTTATCGAAGAAGGCTAAAGGTTATATAATATAAAATACAATGTAAATCATCGCGCTGTAACGAACAGGAGCGAAGAAGCAGCGGAAAATTTTCTTCTCTGTGGGTTTCCGATGCGTACGCTCCGAAAACGGTTCAAGATACCCAAAAAATAAGTATGAGAGAATTATTCCTCTTTAAATGATCGGAAAAAATGTCGACGATAGTATTTGTCTACGGCGGGTCGCGAGTGACGTGACGCGTCCGATGTCGATGTCGGATAGCAGTTTCAATTTGTAAAGATGAAGAGGAGGACTGCAAAAACAAATTTGGATGGCCAAAAGAACTTACTACGTGGACTAAGTCGCTGACACAGCTTGTTCGATCATTGCATCGCAAACGCTGGTAGAGGGTATTCATCCAATACCGGTGTTAACTGGGCGCGCGCGAGAAGCGAACCCAAACAGTTGCGAAAGAACTGCCATATTGAACGCGCGTGTCCTTGATTCCATTTAAATGTCCGTGACGTATTAACATTAGTGCCGTTGTGTGCATCTGTCTACTGGGTCGACGAGCTTAAGTGAGCGTCTGGAAGACCAGGTTAGTGGGTTTGATCCTTTTGCCTGCTTCTGCGCAGCGGTAATCGCAACTCAAAGGACGCCGTGTTTCCACCTAATATACAGTCCACTTTATATTCAACACAGCTAGTAAGCTATAAAACATCGCGCTGCGACTAATAGGAGCGAGGAAACAGCGGGAAATGTGGAGAAAACGGGGAAATTGTATAAAGTTGTAGGCTTCCGTTGAAAGTGCCAAAAATGGTTCAAGATACCCACAAAATAAGTTCGAAAGAATGATTTTTTTATTTAAAAAAAATATTAGAAAAAATTTTTTTTAAAAAAATTTTTTATATTTAAAGGGGGAAAAAAAACATTTAAATAGAAACACTTTAACGGTTTAAAACGCGATATATTAGTTAAACTTATTTGGAAATGATTTTTAACTTCGGCCCGACGTTTCGGATGCTTTGCAGCAGCCGTGGTCACGAGGAGACTAAAGATGGAGGATGTCTCTGACGTCAAAGTAAAAAAATTGCTACCCTAGCGCCGTCTGTTCCGTCGAAGTTGGTCCCAACGAGCATCCGAAACGTCGGGCCGAAGTTAAAAATCATTTCCAAATAAGTTTAACTAATATATCGCGTTTTAAACCGTTACAGTGTTTTATTTAAAAGTATTTGTTTATCTTATAATATTTACTTGTAAAAACGATGGGACGCGGACGACATCGTGGGTAACAGCTACAATTAAGAAAGGTGAGGAGGTTTGCAAAAACTAATTCTGATGCCCAACGCGGTTGGCTCGGATGTGAGTCCTTAAATTTTTGGTATACCACTTGCCGTTTTCACTTGGGTCTACAACTCAATAACCAACGGTATCCGTATTTTGCTTTCAAGTAAAATATTCGCAAAAAATCTATTAATAGTTAACAGATATTGTTTATTTAAATTATAAATCTAATTAGATTGAAAAAAAAAATACGACACGGGCGGGACTTGAACCGGTAGCTCGATATTTACACTTTACACGGTAGGTCAATCGGTTACAGCAGCAGGGAACGCTGTAGATGCCTGTTTATGTCTCGTGCTATTTTTCTTGAATCTAAATACATTTTTAACGAATATAATGCCATATATGTGCAGCATGAGAAAAAAAAAAAAAATTAGTTAGTTTTTTAAGCTTTTGTACCACATTAATAATGAAAGTATTAAATGGAAACAACATTTCAACAACAACAACACAAGTACACATTTTTAAATGTACGACAATATTGCTCTAAAGTCTAAACATTTACAGTCAGTAAACATTTAAACACTCCGCAATTTTGCGCCAGGATTTGAATCCAGCGAGCGTGACTAACCTAAACCTTTATTGCATTTACAACTTGCTAGAAACGAGATTAGATAATAAAATTTGCGCCTACTTCAAAAACTGTTTACCACCTCACTTTGCGCTTTTCTAATAAAACAAATAATTATGTTTCCCCGTTAATCGAAGAAAACACCTGAGCCTAAACTGACGGTAACAAGCGAGACACAAATTTCACTATGAATCTAAATTTAAATCCTCAATAATTCTATTCAAATATCGACAGTTCTTAATTCAAAAAACGCGTACGAAAATAGATTCTGTACAAGTGCGCCAACGAAAAGTAATAAATAGAGGTACAGAATTCTAGACTCTTTATTGCTAGGCTTTGAAAGCACCTCTTTTGTGGAGAGCAAAATGCCCGGAGGATCTCGAATCGTACCCCGGAGCGATTCACTCTTTGACAACTTACAACTTGTAACACAATACGACATACATTATTTGCTGTCTGTGGCAACTCCAATGATTGCGCCTGCCGGATATTGGCTTGCAAATAAAGACGGAAGTCGATAGCGTTGGCGCACTACCTACGATAGTATCCAGAAACTTGATTAAATTTTTTTTCTTTTATTACTAACAAAAATATAATCGTCTGGCTGGTCTACCTTTAAATTACAGTGATCATTGAAACGGAGAGAAATATGTCCATCCCATGATCCTTAGAGCGGAAACGGGAGACTCGTTAATCAATATGTATTTAAATACACGACACGTCGTTTTCGTGCCTTGTGTACCAAAAATGTTTTGTCAAGTCAAAAAAGACGGCAATGTCTTTGAATTAAAATCTAAAAATATTACTAATTACATTGCTTTTACCTGTTGCCATTATAAAGTCCAAAGCTAAAACTAAAAACTATTAAAGGAAAATTAGAAAATATAGGAAAGCACATATAATTAAAATATGTTAAATGAATTCTTGATGTTAAAATAAATAACATAAAAGTTTGATGAGAACAGGATATTGATTTCTGCTATTAACAAAGGGTCTTACCTGCAATTTCCTATGACATCGGTTACCCCTTTGAACGCAGAGTTGTCAAAGACACGAGCGAAACTACAATTTCAAAGACCGAACACTCATAAAAGTTTAAAACACGCCCCTGAAACGGTGAAACTTTATCGACGTTAAGCTCCGTTCACAGTGCGAGCAAATGTGGTCTTTAATTAAGATAACTGGCCGTGTGGTATGTTAATAGTGTAGTAGTTACTTAATATAAAAAGTGGTTTCTTTTCAAAAATCTTGGAGAAATGCGAGGAAAAAAAATACTTATTTAAATTCCCAAATCAAAAGCATTTAAGAAATAAAACATATTTACAAACTTTACAACAACGCCACGATGTTATTTTAAATTATATGTATTAATTCCCATTATTTCAATAGATATTTACTTTTAATATTCAATCTCTTTCCTGTCTCTCTATAAGTAGAATAGCTAGTCTGTTTTATAGTTCTTGATTAACGAAAAAATATTTTCAATAGAGAAAGCGTTTATTGGCAACCGAGCCTTATCCCTTTGAAGTATGAAAAATCAATGAACTTTTATAGGCCTAGAATGTACGAGATAGAAATCTACATAGCCATTGGATATGGTTAATCTCGTATATATTTAAATAAGTTATTTAAATTAACTTAGTAGAAATATATTACAATTAATTTAGAGCTTAGCAGGTTATAAATAAATGAATATTTTAGGATTTATAACACTTTACATTTTATAAAAAATTGTAGAGATATAGTTTTTCTATCTTGCGACATATATAATTACATATAACTTTGATTTATTGTATTGCGTAAATGTGACAAGTTCCCTATCAATATCGTAGAGTACAACCCTAGGATTCAACCTGCATGTAATGAAAGAGATATCACGCATAGTGCAACGAGTGAAAGGGACGTACATATCGTAGATCATTCGTTTCATCCGCCCCTGACCTTGAAAGGGTGTGTTTATATACAATACGACGTGGAAACCGGGAGATGCAGTGCAGCGGTCTCCCGCCATTTCGAAAAACTCATCGCTACGTAGACATCGTGTAATGACCGCATCAATGAAAGATATATTCCGACAATGTCACTACGGCCGTAAGTAATTCCATTATAATAATAAATTATATTGTTTACAAACATTATTACAGTTAAACAAACATATTAAACTATCAATAATTTAAAATTGTATTGAGATAGTATTTTTATTAGGAGTCATAGTCCAAATCAAACAGTGACTTACTAAGTATTTAAGCATTTAAAAATATAATTTATTTCATTGTTTTCAAAATTAACTTGGCAAACTTAATTAAAATCGTTTTATCTATAACCTAAGCAATATTTATTTCCAGAATAGTGTAGTTAGTGCATATATAATCTACATAAAAGTGATGTTGTGTGTTAGGATGAAAATAAATTAGATATCAATCGAAATAAAAAGTTTTAACAATAAAAAAAGTAATATATTTATTCAGGAAACATATTTTAATCTGTTTTGATCTAAAAAACCTTTTAAGTAATAATATCTCTGCCATTTGAACCATATTTGCGCATTTGTTGTTTTATTTCTATTGAATATTAAATTCGGTTTCTTTACTAAATTATTCCAATAACTACTTAATTTAAGAACGGTAATGATTTAGGATTTATTTAATATTTATTAATGGACAACCGTTTGCGTAGTGTTTGTAATATCGTCAACTTTGTTTCTGTTGCGCGTTATCTGAAAGCTTCGATTGAATTCGTCTGTCGTGTATTAGATTCCGCTACAACATCCTGCAGCTTATCGACTTGCAATATATTTTTCCACGAATGCAAAACTCTTTTAGCTTACATATGGGGCCGCTAGAGGCAGAGTAGCCTAACTGCAATTTTATGACTTGACTTATTTATAGTCTAAAAATGTTAATCTACAACACAGTGACCGACAATTGTTTACATAATTTTTACCCAATTATAATAGGACAAATTCATTTTCGCCTAAGTTAATTGCGAATTTTTATTTTTCTCCTTATTGAATATCATGATTTTTGTTGTTAGGCCATTCTGGCTCTAGATGCCTCATATAGCTTTATTACAAACATTGTAGGTAAAGCTTTGTTTTTGCGATTTTTAAATTTAGAACGCTATTATATTGAGATTATCTTGCAGTCAAAGTACACCCCATGTATGGGGTCAAAAATTCAACTAATTCCACCGGGGAACCAATATTTTCACCGGTGACACTGAGCGATGAGTGGCCTAAGGTTGGAAGGTTGATTTTCGTGGTCACTTTATGCACTTTGGGCACCACTCTAAATGGTTTCTTTGTTGCTTCTTTCTTTGTGGAGAGCAGTCTTCGGAAAATTGGTACGTATACTATATATAGATAAACTAGAACATTTATTATCTAACTGTCTTTCACGTTTTTTTTGTTTATATAGTGTAAATAACTGGACATACTCGTTGGCTTAATGGTAGGAATGCTATGTGGCTATTATATATTCGATTAATTCCGGACTCAACGTGTTTCCAAAACTATTCACACGACGTGTAAAATAATAAAAAGATTGTAGTCGTAGTAGATAAAATTGAAGTCTGTGGAGTTTCTTATAAAAAAAATGGTTTTAAATAATTTTATATGTTAAAAACATCGAAAATACGGATCAACGTCCACTGATGTACGAACGCTTAGACGTCGTGGACGGACAGACGTGTTTAGTGTGAAATTATTAGGTACATTGAAATTGTAACTAATACTTTAATACCTATAATAAGACATCACAATATAGATTACTGAATTACTAACAAGCACTAAATTAAAAAAGTATTAAAATTTTCTTTAATGAATTATAAAAACTTTGCTAAAGTAAGTTTATCACTTTTGAACCCTTCTTTCTTGAAGGCCTCGTCTTTCTTGCTTGTGTTGGAATGGCTGATATGCTGATTACCAGCGGTGCGATGGCTGTATCCTCTGTTATCTTGCTCGCGGGCGAATGGGACAACCTTTATGTATGCAGCTCCGTGCATTTTCTTGGAATCACATCTACTTATTGCTTCAGTATGCTCTTTATGGTGAGTTTACTGGGTAAAAATATTAAAACAGACTCCTTGGTCTAGTGGTTCACTCCATTGCAGTCAACGAAGTACGGGATTCGTATCCGTGGCAAAATTTTTGGACTAAGAAGTAGCAGTGCCATCACCCCCAAAAAGGACATACAATTTCTTACAACTATTGATGTAACTGGGAATCGTCAGGCCCTGCCAAAACGTATAGTGGTAGTGTAATAGATGAAACCTCCAATCTCTGAAAACTATTTAAATTGCGATTCTATCTTACACAGTATGGTGTCCATGGATCACAAAAGATTTTCTTTTTATTTTTTTTTACAGTTTGTGGCCCTGGAGGACTATATGAGGTTATGTTGCTCAACCATGGTTTACAATCTCATTATTAAATGCAACGCTAGCGCAATTTGCGTGACAATCTTTATCCTCAGCTTTTCACTCGCTGGCATTGGCGTTTACATGAACCTCGACTACGATTACTGCGCGCGCGCCCACTACGGAAACCGTTACTTTAGGGCTGTCTCCGGTATCATCTTCCACGCTGCACCCTCTGTTCTGACTACCTTCTGTCTCATCTCTTCCTATCTTTGGATCAAACGCCGCGCTTTGAAACAAGTGAACTATAGGCGTTCTTATGCCTACGGTCGCGATTACTCATACGCCGTTTTGAATATCGTATCCTATCTCGTATTCATCTTCGCCTGGCTTCCGTATTTGATTACTCTACTGGATATAGCTTACGCAAGTAACTCTAAATACTACTATAGCGTCTGGTTCGGTCAGGGTCGCGCTGCGTTCACCAGTTTCATGTACCCAATATTGAATAGGAACTTTCGCCGGGCTTTCGCACACCTATTCAACTATTGCTGCTGTAAAAGCAACCTGTCCGCGCCCTTGGCTAATCGACACCGAAGGGAATATTCTAGACCTTTGGCTACGAGAGTCCGAGTACTACACCCAAACATGTTCATAGCCCGAAGTGCTCAACTGCGTACTTACCAACCACGGGTTTCGACTCACGAATTGTAAATGAACACCCGGCATACGATTACTGGCAACCAACAATAGTTAAGCATTAATGCAGCAATTGAAAAAAGAAAAAAAAATACTTTTATGTGTCCGTCCTCCTTGCAGTTTAAATAGATTTTTCCAAGTAGTACATTTATTGGTGTAACCCTTTCTCAATATTTACATGTCTTTGTAGAAGTGTTACGGAAGAATGGAATTAATGAATGTCCTATATCATTAATTCATTAAATGTATTGAAATTATCAGTTACTTAAGAATTTCTCATAAGTATTACTCGGATTATTATAAAAGATTAAACATGCTTACACGCAGCTTGCTTTTTGTAAATTGCGTGTTCAGTATATTTTACTCATGTACGTTGATTTTCTGTATTCGATATCGCATTAATAAGCCTGCTTTTGTTTCGGTAAAAAATGTTTTTAACTAGGAAATTATGTTAGTATGCCCAATTCTTATTTTCAATGTTGGTAAAAGTTGAAACCAAGGGGAAATTGGTTCGAACCACACATAATGGATGGTAGTATTTTTGTAAGGAAATGAGAGTCGTTAATATTTTCATATATTTATTAAAAGAACGATACATATTAATAAAATATAGTTGAAAGATGTAAAAGAAATATAACGTTTCTATTTAGTCAATCTTTCTAAGTATAGCAATTGCTTTTAAAGCAAACAAAAACTTAGTGATGCAAACCAGTGAGAAACAATCTTGTCATGTGATATTTGAAGATACGATTTTCACGCAAAACAATTAAATTATGGAATATGTAAATAAGGGAACAAGTGTTGCTGTGGTTAGAATCAATTTGCAAATTTAACTTAAATTAACGAATGACGATGTTGCACAATTCTATTTAAACAAATTTTAAATGTTGAAATGTAATTTAATGAAATAAGATATTAAGAAATGCTTGTAGTAAAATCCAATATTTGTCAAATCTTCAAAATCCACGGTAGATTCATTATAGTAGGATTTGAAAACTAAACATGAGATTGCTTATTCTTATAATTAAAACTGTTTAAAAGTTTACCTTTCTCGTTGTCTATTAAGACGATTTTTGATGTTATAGAACAATTTAAGAACTAGTCAAATAGCTTCAAATATATACATTCTCTATAGATTTACTATTATGATTAAGTATTAATTTATTTCGTTATTTCAAGACTGACTAAATTTTGTATGCGCTTTACAAGAATCAAAATAATTACTTAGCTTTGAGGTATCTAAAATTTCTGTATGCATTTATTCTATTATTAGTGTTTGTTACAGTCCATGACTAAATCTTCCTGCCTCCATAGTTAAATGGTTAAAAGCATTGTACCAAGCATAGCCTGAACTGGTCCTGAGCTCGAATCCCAGGAAAACAATAATAGTTTTGGTTAGGCAGAGTGGAGGGGGCATAGCAAACTGGTCTATGTATAGTTTCGTTTATTTAAATCTAATTAAGGATTACTATACATTTCAATGTTCTGTGCCAAATTTATATTTTATTGTTGTTCTATTTAGCTAACTATTGCTTATATTTTCTATTACTTTGTAAATAGCTAAAATATTGCCTCGTAAATTTTGTATACAGAATTATATTATGAAAATTTCGTAATTATCTTTTCGCTACTGACTATTTTTGTACTGTATTCCTACAATTAGGTAGTTACTATTTTTACTAAGACTGTTTTTGGAAGCCACTGTATATTTACTCAACTTTATAGCTTATTATTTTTTTATTTCATAAGAGCTTTACAATGGTTTTAATATATTTAGTTAATTTTGGATCAGCTGTTACTATACACAATTTTTTAATTAGGCTTTCTCTTTGAAATAAACCAAATGTATCTCTACTATTTGTAATTATTGCTATCTTACGATCAATGTTTAGTGTTACGTGAATCAAATTAAATGTATTCAAATTGAAGTATTCAAATAAATATTTTTGATGTCTGCATTCATGTTGTATTATTAAACAAATATTAAGTAACATTTATTTTTTAAAATTCTGAAGATATTGTTGGTCCACAACCTTTGGGTCGTGGGTTCAATTCCAAGCGGGTCCATAATTTTTCTAATCAATTTATAATTTTTCTGAAACATGTTGCACTTTGTCTGGAAATCTGGATATTTAATGGGTGGTAGGGAGATCTACATTCCGCCTGGGTCTCGAACCACCATCCATAAATGAAAAAGCCTCTTAATGCGTTTCCCACAAGTTATTTGGCTGGGATATTTCACCTACCATCAAGCGAAGCCCATGTGTGTCTGTCCTCTATCATAAAAATGAAACAATGAACAGATCACAGCTACGTATATGGTCGTTGAAAAGCTCCAAAGGCAATTTCCGTGTAAGCGTGCCGTTTTTGTTGAATGTCAATCGCCATGTAGCCTTGCTCAACAGTCTTTTGGGTTACGAATTATAACGGTGAAAGGCGAACGCTCGGTGGGGGCAAGCTGAGCGGAGCCGGGCACAGTCTGTCGTGGAGCGGAGCCCGAGACGACGGCAATAGCCGCACTTTACGCACTACGCAATCTAATGCGATACTTTTACTTTCGTCTGAAAACTGTGGATGTGTGTGTAGTGTTTGTGTATAATGCTTAAGTGATTTGCCAATATCGAAGGGGACAATTGCAATATGTATATGTGTGTAGGCCTTGTTATTTGGAGCGCTGTCTTCGTGACAACTCAAGCCCAAGGTGAGTCAAACTTCTTCCTGGGGTATTGCCGAACAGTATTCTGTGGTAACTAAAATTCGCTTCAACTTACAAAGCAACCTTGACAAACCTAACCTATACCTATATTCGTCTATGGTGCAGATTAGCACTTGAAACTATAAATGTCTCTCTATTATATCTTTTAGGCTAGTAAGTTTTCGAAACATCAATATAATTCAATTAGTGGCTAATTGTTATTTAATTATACTGGTTATTGCAAAATTTAAGCGAGTATTAATTTTACATACACAGTCCGTTTGTGGCCTGAAGTGAGAGCTAAACGAACTGACGTAAGTCAAACGTGCGGACATGCACTAATTTTAATTAATGCGAAAGTTATTCTGTCACAACTATCAGTTACTTTCAAGGCCACTGAGATCGATTTAATTGTAATCGGATAGATTTCAGTCGTACGCCGTTGAGTTTGAAATTTGACACTATTTATAGAAGATTTTATGTACATTAAAATTGACTTAGATATTTTAAAGGCAGGGGTTGAGAAGCGAATCTACAGCCAACGATAGCTCGATTGGTAAAGCAACTGTTATGCTCTATTAATTGAGTTATGCTTAGCTTTGTCATAATATTATGTAGGTAGATATGTAGGGCTACTGAAACTTCGTTCGTAAATAAAATATATTTCGGTAAGTACTTACCTAACAGTTCCTATGAAATGTTTTTTATACTTACCAGTGTACATCTTAAGTGAATACTAAAACTGATATGAAGATTTTTATGCCTTTCCCAAACAAGAAAGAAGCCACACAATCTTTTGTTTTATATATTTATTTAAATTCGTACAACATTACATTAAGTTCACATGTAGCTAGCTAGCTATAGTAGCTAAAACTTATACTTAAGTATTTCTAGTAGTATTTTAGTAATTATGAAAACACACATATATATATATATGTGTGTGTGTGTTTTATTTATTACATAACTATAAATATAATTGAATAAATGATAAATGATTCAAAGAAATGTAGCTAAAAAAACACAATTGGTCTAGTAATAAGTGCACTCGACTTCAAATCGAGTTGTTACATTTTTAATTTGAAAGACGTTTTTAGAAGTATTCAGAGTTTGTTAGTAGAAGGTACAGGGACATTCATTAATTCAGTCAGGTGTGTCCTAACGCCATAGACTTTTCGCAACAGTGGGACAATAATACGTTAAAACGATAAGACTATAAAAATATTCCAATGCATAAATTACTTGCAACGTAGCAGACTCGATACAAGTAAAAGTATTAATTGCATAACCGCATTTGAATTTTATGCTAATTGAGGTGTTTAACTACCAGAAATTGCTAGATTCGCTCTAGTATTCAATAATTGCCACTATTAAAATGTGTTACTTACTTTTTAACTTTCATAGCTGACTATAAAAATTGTAGAGTTTCAAAAGGAGTGATGTCTGTGGCGGATAATCGTTTTTATTAGGTACTAGCTGTGTCAGCGACTTCGTCGGCGTAGAATATTTATTTTGGGCATCCGAATTTGTTTTGGCAGACCTCTATATCTTTATAAATTTAAGCCCACGACATCGGTCGCGTCCCGTCGCTCGCGACCTGACGTTCGGGTCCCGTCGTTCTTGTAAGTTAATCTTAAAAAATAGACGTATAGTGTCGCTGACATATTTTTAGATCATTTAAAATGGAATCATTCTTCCGTACATATTTTTTGGATATCTTGAACCGTTTTCGCAGCGTATACATCGAAAACAAACAAACTCTTCAGCTTTATATATTAGTATAGATTACGAGTGTCATATAACCATGCACGATGAGAGACAAATCAAAATGAATAACTTTAACAAAACATTTTTAAGAGTTTCTAAAGCGAGATCATTATTTACAATTCATTCTAACTACGGCCCGTACGTTTAGCATGCTTAGCAGCAACCGAAGCAAAGTAAATAAATTAAATGAAATGTTTCGCGTTTTAAACCGTTAAAAATATTGTATTTACATGCGTAAGCTACATGTACTTACCATTAATCATATTCCTATTTGATTAGAATAAAAACAATTGAATATTGAATCGCATGAGATCGCGTAGCGTAAATTAGTCTGAATGCGTATAATAATAGACACAACAGGAAATCAACACGCAATATCTTCCCGGTCGTAAGGGCATATTCACAATGACAAAAATAAAAAACAATTAAAAAGAGATTTGTTATAGGAACTATTATAGATTTTGGATTATCTTAATCAATACAAACTACGACATATTATTTCTTATTTATTAGTCATCAAAATGATTTAGTGTATACGACACTATTATATTATTGTTCAAATACGACAATATTTTCTTGTGTTATAATTAAATAAACAAGTAATATTACTTTCATCTCACCTGTCTTTAATCTATTGAATTTAAGAAAGATCAAGGAATTTATGGATAATATTTTTAAATTAATTGTTTTTATTTTACATACTTTGTAAAAAATTACATAAACTCTTCTGTGTTTGCGTGAAAATAACAAATATCCAAAAAAACAACAAAACTGAATAAATCTTAGTTATCAAAGTCGATTCATCTGTCAAGAAGAAATTTAATTAAGTAAAAACAACAGGAAATATTTTAATGTAATACGTAAACTATAATGGGAGTTTTTGTACTATTTCCGCATAATTCGTTACAAAACTACGTTAATGATATCTACTTTTCGACACTGAGAATAAGTATTGTGTAAAAACTAGGAAGTTTGCCAGATATTAATAAGTTTATTGTCTTCCGCACAATGTTAGCTTACTAAACATTAATTAATGACATAACTTAAATGTTCAAGCTTAAATAAGTATAGTAACTTAAACTTCGTGCAATAATCAACAGTCTTAAAGAATTGTGAATTGAGATATTCGAGTTAAATGTTAATAAGGCAAAAATAAGTTAACATACTTGCGTTGTAACGCTTAACACAACGCATCGATTCGGCTGTTGAATTTAAAAAATAGACTAGTAACATACAACCATACAGATCTTAATAATGAAATGCACACAATGTTTGAGAAATACCGGCTCTAAATCTCTTATGATGAAAGTAGCTTTATGTATTTTCTCTCTCGACTGTACCATCGGTTTGGAACTAATTATGTATTTCGTTTTTGCATCACCATTTCATCTAAAATTTAATTCGAGAATAATTTACGTTTTCCTAAAAAAAATTGTATTTAATAGAATCAACATATTAATTTAATAAGACGACAAACATTTTACTCATAAAACAATGATCTAGCCCAATTTTTGGATATAGGCCATCTTCATGTGTTGGTAAGCAGGTACGGTCTCTCCTATTTACAAATTTAGGGGCAGTAATTGCTAAAGCCTGCTAATCCAGATTGGAACAGCGAGGTGGGTCTATACTGCTCAAAATGCTAGAGTTTTGCCCGACAGTGGGACATAAATAAGTTGAAGTATCTTAGTTTTTTTGTAGGCTAATATTTCACGTGGCTCATATCAATGAGTAGTTTTATCTAAAAGAGTTCAACGCATTACTTCACTTTCATTTCAGATTGATACATCGATAGAGCATTGTTTGTAACGCGTTCTGTCGCTTTCACTTATCCTTAGCGGCAATAACAAGACCTCTTTCCTCGGAACCGGCTTCGTGTGCCACTGAACGACATATTCCCGTTAATGGCTTAGCGTGTATCAGCTTCATATCAGTCGTCTACGCACCTTCGCATACGGAGTTTTTAGACCAATATTAGAAAACAAAGTTCTTAAACCAAATAGTTCTTAGACCGATGTTTAGTGGAGTAGTTTTTAGACAATCTCAAAAGACCAATTAAACTTTTATATGAGATTCATGTCTTTTGTCATGTTAATTAATTTGGAGAATAAAGTAAAAACACTAATTTAAATAACTGTATATATGAATTTGAATATCCAAAGCCAAAATAGCCAAGTAATCTGTACTCCAAGTATTCCGTACCAAGTACACGGTACACTCTATTCTCTACTTTGGTTTTAGACAATCTTTTTGTTGGCTAAGGCCATTGGCGTAGCCATCGGCCATTTCATTTGTAGATATATTAAAACCTGATCAGTAGTCATACATGTATTATACAATATTGTAAATAAAATATTTTGAATATTTTAAAATAAAGCGCTATTTTAAAATTCTATATTTATTATAATTTATTCATGATACAGATATCTTTTATATTAGTCACGCAGGTTTGAATTTCTCTTGTTCGACTTTCTATTAATACCTTTGAGACGTAAGGACGATCACAGAATTAAATCATTTTACTAGATAAAGTTTCACAACGGATAAGCCTAACTATTTTAACGATCTCTCATTCATTACATCTAAATTATAAAATTTGCTTGATTACCAATTACGAATAGGAGCATTTTTAAATATATAGTATATACGCTTAGGGCGTTCGTTTATATTTTTTGACTGGCTCCTTGGTCCTCATGCTAGCTAAGTTTAGTTTATAATTCTGACCGGGCTTAGCATGCTAGCATGCTTAGCCCGGTGCATGTGTTAGCATGCTTCTAAATTATGTTATTTTTCTTATAACATTTTAGACCCTGCCATAAACATCTTAATATTAAATAGGTGGTAGCTATATCCAAATTAATCACCGCCCATAGGTGGGCGATCGGAGAAAGTTTAGTAACCGAACAACTACCGACGAACAGTAGGATTTTGCTGAAAATCAGTGTTGTAGCATAACTATGCTGACCCGAGACCCATTTGGTGTCACTCTTCCTCAAATTAATATATTTTTATGTTCATTATTTCATTGTAATTATTTCTTTCCAAAAATAGTTCTATTATTATTAAATTGTATAAAGTAAATAAATTTTGTTTTAGTATGGATCTTGCCGAACTAATAATTGCATTAGCCTAAAAAGCACCTTGCAAATGATTAGAGTAACTTCTGCAACTTTAAAACCACTTATTTATTAAACAACGAAACCAGATATAATATTTGGCAAAGAAATTCCTTGTATGCTATT